AAGGCCGCTAGCTGTTCTCATTGAGAGATTTCCTACCGGCAATCTCAATGCAGAGCTGAGGACAACACTTCGCCTCTGACTAAAGCAAAAAGAGGAATGTAGAAGCTACAAATCCTGCTCCTGAAACCTCGGGTTGAACAACGACAACAAAGACTTGCTCTCCAAAGGTGAAAGGCCCCAAGGACCCAGCTATCGCAGACAACATAGGAGAGCAGGTCGAAGTGCGGTACTGCGAGCACGAGGAACGAGGATGGAAGATTATATTTCCCATCCAAGATACCCGGCAAGAAATGTTCCCGTCGCATGTTCTCGATGTGCGGCATTTCGTCTTGGGGTAAAGCGTGTCACCGAGAATAAAGAGTTCGGATCTAGGGACCGCATCCACAACCACCGTCCGTGTTCCCCGCAAGAAGTGGAACGTTGCCATCGTGAACCCAGAAGCTGTAGCATTCATATACAGAATAGTATAACAATCCGCTATGCCAACCCTGTACTAAACCAAAAAAAAAGGCCTTCCGCAGTCCATCTTTTCCATAAAAACCAATCAAACCCCCATATGTACTAGTACGTTCCCTCCCTAACTACAAACTCAACCGATCCAAGCTCAAGCGATCCCCACTCCTCTCCTTCCTCACCGCCCCCAGCCTCAGATACCTCTCCTCCCCACCCGCCGTCTTCCCACCCACATACCACTTCTCGCCCAAATCCCTGAAGCCGCCCTCGCTGCTGGTGTCGCTGCCCCTCCTCGCGCGGCGGAAGCCGCCGCCCGGCGGGGACATGGCCTGCGGGCTCCTCGGCGGCGGGGACATGGACGCGGACGGGGAGGTCGAGGCCGGACGGGCGTGGGCGTGGGAGAGGGAGGGGTTGGCGGCGTGGACGGCGGCGGTCGTGGCGCCCGGGGAAGGGGATTTGGTCGCGATGGCGCGGGAGAGGGTCGGGGGGGCGTAGGCGGATGGGGCTGTGGGGGTGGAGGTGGAGGTGGTGGAGGAGGAGGAGGGGTTCGAGGAGGATTTCGAGATGGCGGATTGGGCGCGGAAGGCGGCGAGGAAGTTGAAGAAGAAGGGGCGGTTGGTCGGCATTGTTGTTGGTGGTGGAGGTGGTGATGGGTTGGGTGCTGGGTGTTGGGATGAGGGTGTTGGGGTGTGATTGGGAAGAGTAGAGGAGACTTCAGACGTGGTGCATTCTATTCACGTCAGCTTGGTGCTTAGATGCGAGAAAAGGGTCTCCGTACGGAGGATTTCTAGCAATGAGGCATTTGAATGACTGGCGTCAGATCTCCGGGACTGGGCTGTTTGATTGTCGTCGAAGCAGGAATCAAGAGCAATTCACACTGCTCGCGTCTTCAAAGACTCGGCAGACATTCATGATTGTGAGAAGAGTTAAGAGGGTGAAGTGTGGGGTAATTCATTCGGTCCTTCTTGTTTGCTTTTGCTACGGGCTTGTGAATTTCGTCGCTTTTTGACCGTCGGCAAATGCCGGAACCAGCTCCGACTCGCACCGGAAGATTTGGACGTGGCATTTGCCGGAAATGACGTTGCAACCCGCAACACTTTTCTTATCCTCTTCTTCTCTACCTTACATGTACGAATGTCGCGTGAAACCTCTGGCCCGTCGAGCTTCATGAGACGGCATTGTCTGTAATGGAGAGTTGGTCGGCTACCAAGCGACTAACAGGGTCGAATGAGCGACTTTCTATTCTAGCTACCTGTATCTAAAGTAGTGTCAGGACCTCCTGCTCCTTCCTGCAACCATCCACCTATCGACTCTGGAGCTGCCTTGTTCCGGTCAGAGGGGAGGCAAATATTTGCCAGGCGGTGGACATTCAGCACTCTCCCAGATATCCTCGAGTGAGCGAGGAGTCGAAGATGTATCTGAGTGCACTATACTGGCAGAGTGGAGGTTCTAGCACCTAATAGGTCAGTCTCAATCCGGCCAAAAGAAAGACAGTTGCATCCATGCAGGGACTTTGGGGAAGGAAAGGGTCGATGGCGCTCTTGCAACAATAGGATTGTGCGCTTTGGGTCAGGCTTATATGCTATCAATAGCAGAAGCTGAAGTGACGAATCTGGCTTCTACTAGTACATATGCAAGGAGAAGAGGCCCTTCCGCAATACGCGATCAACGTCCCCCAGTACTTCCATTGTCCAATATGCAGCGCTTCGGAGCGCACCCAACCCAGTCATGTGTATATCAGCTCAATGCAGACTGACGACATGCATGGCCCTTTTCAAGGTAAAAGGGTGGGTATATGGTTCAAAAGGAGAAGGTACTCCCGAACCACGTGTAGTATGCGCCAAGTCTCTTAGACTTGCACAAGCGAGAAATTGAAAGCGCTTCGAGCCCTTCTGATTCGTTGAGTTTCTTTTTCCAGAATAACTCCATACTCCATGCATATGCCATGCAGACACAGCCCCCCTTTTTCAGTCCACAAGCAGTCCACTTGATGCAAGTTGACGCCTGTCCATCCATTGCTCCATTCCATCTTTTACTGCTGCACCCAAGTCAGTCTGCTTATTTTTCTCAACTTTCCCACATGACCTGGCGATGCCAAGTCTTGCCCTTTTCCTTCAGGAGTGTTTTGAGTAGTCTCATATCTATTAATAGACATACCTCTTGGCTCGAAAACAATCTTCTACCCTCTCCTCTTCTGTAAAGGTACAGTGAGACGGACTCGACGTCTGCCCAATCCGCTTTCTGCTTTCTAATGTCCGTCTACAAGTTTCCTGCTTCTACGCAACGTTCAAGTAAGCCACAGCACAGATCACCCTTGATACTTCACCCCCACGTTCTTTCGTCCAATACATCACCTTTCCTTTCTTTGTCGCTCCAAGCTTCGAAATGCTCTACCGCGGTGGACACTTCTGCAAGTTCTATAATAAATATCATATGCTCCGTAAGCCACAGACTTCAGGTCTGCATAGCGCCCAATGACTTGATACAAGACCCTGGACGGCCTCTCTACACAATGCCCATCACCAGATTCGTAAGAGCAGAAACCCACTTTTCTCCAAAAGTACAAATCATGCCTCACCACTACAGTTCCAGTTCCAGTTCTGAAGACCTCGACGTCTATCGAGCTGTCTCCTTCACAACTTCTTCAACTCCTCAGCACCTCCATCCCCAGACCTCTCCCACTGCCCACAAGTCCAAAGTCCTCCTCGAATCATGCAAAGATCGCTTGTCAAAATGTTTCCAACGGCCCTGCTGCCCTTGTTCGCTCTGCTCGTCGAAAACCCGCCTCTTCAAAACCAGCAAGATGGCCTGAGCTTTTGCGCTTTATCAGTCGACCCTGGCCAACTGGAAACCGCTAAGACGTTCCTTCCGGCCAAATTTCCTTTGACTCGGGCCGATCGCCGCCCGAATCAACGAAGCCGAGTACGAATGATGCAGCAGGAGCGTAACCATCACCGGAGCTATGTGACATACATCGACACCAACGGGAGCGCAGGCACGCAACTTCCACAAGTGCAGTCCCGACTATCTTCGAAAGGCCGACGTACAAGTGCAACAACCATACCCAATCGTCCACGCCAACCCCTATGAGCACAATCCAGACTCGGACCAAAACGCCCACTCCGCCATTTTGCGCATCCAGCATCAAACCCGTCGCTTCCACCCTCTTCCCTAAAGATGTACCAAACCCAACATCAACACCCCTCCCCCGCCCACAACCACCCCCGAAACCAACCCACCCTCCTCGCAGCACCCCATCTCCCGCGGCTCCACCACCACCACCACCACCCTCCCAGCCCACCAGCTATATCCCAACACTATCGGCGTCTATACAGCATTTCTCCTCGGACAGTGTTCATTTATTCCATCATGGAGCCTCCGTATCACAGACGAGTTTGACTTGATCGGCAACCCCCGTGCCAAAACCCACACCGTGTGCGATCCAAAAGTCGACAATCAAATCCTCGGCGGACGAGTCCCGCCTACAAGGTTTTTCTCGTGGTCCCCCCGACCGGAACCCTGTCGATTGGAGCCTGGTGGAGTGGCGGATGACCTACGATCCAGATGGGATGTTTTGCATTGATCCGGCCTGCTTGTACTAGTACCAACGGAGACCATTTTGTCCCCGGGACCCCCCGTCTCCGGCGATTCGATCGGCGACACAAATTTGTTTCTAGGCAGTACTGTGCGCTGCATAAGATATTCCGGTGAAATAACGAGACGATTATGCATCTATGTCGAATTAGTTCGTGTGTGTCAAGGGGGGAATCCGTAGTTGCATCGCTTGCAGGTTTGTGACACGGGGGACGATACCTGTTCGAGGTCGACTACGAGAGAAATCGGCATGTGTAACGATCGGGTGTGAAGACACCAATATCAGCGCATCTTCTGCTTCAACACACTCGGTATTCCGCAGAGTCCTGAACAGCGCTAGCAGTGACCTTAACCCTCCACTGAAGTACCTTCGGAAGGCGATCGTATATATTGGTGTGAGAAAGCTCACGGCGCCCACTCCGTCGCCGCAGGCGGAAGTGGTTGCCAGCGATGGAGCTTTGGCAGGCGGGGGGGGGGGGTACTCAACGCCGGACGAGGAGGATTTTTATTATCCAGTGCGGTTTTTACGACATCGCTGCTGCTACCGCCCTGTGTCGCGAGAGTCCTGAGGCGTGTGGTGCGGAGTCTGATCCAGAGACATGGATGCGTGATGTTGAGAAAAGCGTTTGTCACGGTCGAGGGAAAGAGGATGGTGAGCTCGGTGGGACCTTGTAGGAAGAAGGTTCACTGGTGGCAATTTGCTATTTAGGTTATTTGGGCACGAATGAATGACATGATTGGGTTACAGACGGAAAGTGGCCGTTTCATCAATCCTTCGCCGTTCGTTTTTGTACGCACGCGGGCAACTTTCCGGAAACGAACGAGAGCGAAAAGGTAAAAATGCCTCACACGGTGCGGCTCAAGGGAGACAATGCCCCTTCTAATTGCTTAGGAATTGCCCACTTCCTTCGCGCGAGGACGATGTGAAGACAAAGGGAAAACCCGTCGCTTCCTCACCCCGCCCTCTCCATCCCGATCCTGCCCGTCTCCTCCTCCGCCTCCGCCGCAAGCCTCCTGACCACCCCCTCCGCCCCCTCCAACCCGCCAACCTCTCCGAACCTCTTCTTCCCAAACGCCCACCTCTCGACACCGAACCCCTCCTCGCCGCCCCACACCCACTCACCGCCATCATCACCACCGATCCCCCTCTGTACGACCCTCTCGCCGTCATTGTTCGCCCTCTGCGCGCAGAACCTCGACACGGTGGCGCCCGCCTTCAGAATCCACTGACTGGCAGCGGGGACGTACATTTCCGTCCGGTGCACCTGCTCGGCGTGATCGGTGGGGACTTCGAGGGCTTCGCAGAGGGTCCATTGCGCGTGGTTGCGCATCGCGGCGAAATCCCGGTGGGGGGTTTGGAGGTTAGAGTCGAGGGCGCGAAGGTAGAGGGCCGCGAACGTGTTGGCGTGGGTTTAAGGAACGGAACGATAGGATTCTTTTCCCCTTCTCTTGACTTACCCACAGCAACCTCGCGGAAGTAAAATGCGAAACCCGGTAGCTCTCGCCAGCAAACCTGTGAATTCATCGACGACTTGACCACTTTGCCATTCACATCGACTACATCCGGAAGCTTCGAGATGCAGATCATCATCTGCACCAGCTGTTCCAGATTGCTCGTAGAATCACCTAAGTGATTGATAGCATCATAGACGATGTTCTACAGGTCCCACATCCTCGCGTCCCCCATACCCTCCCTGATGCATTCTCCGTAGATCGAGGCGATATTCTCCGCCGCCTGTTGAGAAGAAATAAGGTTTTGAATAAGACGCTGGTCGCTTACTGTGAATACTGCACCTTCTAGTACGTGTGCTTGTAGGACCCAAGAACCACAAAAATAAAAGAGTATATACTTCGATACTGTCCCTCGAATTTTGAGTACATGGTGAATGACATGTATGAACAGTTGCTGGATAATGCCTAAAATTCAAGAAAGTATTGTCGCCACTCTTGCATGATATATTGGTCCCCTTCGACAAAAATCAAATCTACAAGTGGCAGCAATCAGACAGAGTACAGTACCAGATCGTAGACGCACACTGGCACATTTGCACTGATGAGTATAATGTACCCACTTGGTTGTTGCAGGGCATGGGAAGCCGAGGTAGAGGTGAAAGGGTACATTGACCTTGATCACCGCTCGATAGTAGCCACGGATACTGTGGTCGAAAGATTGCACGGTCCTTTGTCCAGCCAGATGTTTAAGCAACAGATCTGTAGCTCGGGGAGAAGTCTCGGTGAGCTCCTCCTTCATCCTTTCCCTAAGATCCTATCCGTAAGAAGCCAAGACGCCAAGAACTTCCTTCTTTGTGCCATCGCATCACCATCCATCCAATTCCCCATCACCTCCTTCATCATCAACCCTCCCCCCCCCCCCATAACACACGAAGCCGTCATCATGGTACCTACATCCCGCCTTCCCATCCTCCCCAGAATCCACTGACCTTTCCCCCCCCCAGGTCCAAGGCCACCACGGCATCCCCTTCGCAACCTCAAAGCCCGCCTACGGCACCTACAAATCGCCTTATGGGCCCAAGTACGCCTTCCCTCTACTCCCACGCCCTCGATACCACCGTCCACAACGGTCAAACCTTGTACTACCAATAGTCAAAACCGACATGCTAATGACACAACGACGCAGCTACAAAATCCAACCCAACCTCCGGGGCATAGGGCCAGGGCGAGCCTTGAAATTGTACGCGCGGACCGACCTTCCAATTCCCCTCTCCTCATCCCCTGCGCCTCGCCTCCCCGCGAGCGGGCCACTGAATGGTCGGGAATGGACCTGCTGATGAAAGGGAACAGTGGCATCACCTTGGGCAGCTTCGGCGTCGTGGGCGCGATATTCGCGCTGCAGTTCTTCGCCGAGGTGCCGAAGGTCAGGAAGGATATACTGCAGGTGGGTCTCTGGTCCTCGCGTTCTGTCCTGCTTTGAGAAAGGTGAAGGGGGGGGGGAAGTCGACGGCAGATGGGATTAGATGGAGGAAGGAGTGGGGAGATGTGGGGAACGATGAGAGGGCCAGGGAGCCGGCAGTGGAGGAGAGCACGAGGAGAGGGTGGACGGCAGCGCTGACGGGTTTGGCCGAGCAGAAATTCCCGGTTATCGGAGACTACTTTGTGAGGGAGATACCGCCCAGTGATAATGTGAGTCCTCCCCTCGGCGCTGACCGGAAATGGGGCTAATGTTCCCGGCTACAGCCGTTCTGAGGTCGTTTCTGCTGGAAGCGATACATGGATGGTATGAACGCTACGGGCGGAGAGCGAAGTCTTTGGGGGTGTACATAAAGTCATAGACTGTGCTTGTTGCGCCATCATTATTTGAGACCATACGTGCAATTATTCGACATATGACCTCGAGTGCTCTTAACGAGAAGGGCTGATAATCACAAAACCAACAGCGCAGACATTGCAGATGGTCAATTGTAATTGATATTGCTCTAATGTCGAAAAGTCCTACCTCTTCCAATCCTGAACGCCACACCCAAATATATGACAAGCATACCTTAGATTACAAATGACAGGCCTAGGCAATGCCCTCAGCCCTGCACAACAATGCTTTCTTTGGGTCTATTTCATACTCAGTCAGCCTTCCCATACCCACCGCCATTCAAAAATCCCTCCTTTCCATCGAGCTGGAAGAAACCCCCTGAATTCCTCTTCTTCCCGCTCTTCATCCTTCCCCTTCCCCATATAAAAGTGCCAATGACAATACCAATCAACATCCCCAGCGATACCCACGGATGGCCCGTCGCAGCTCCACGCAGGCCGAAGAAAATGCGTTGAATGACACCTGTAGAAGATTTGGCGGATATTTTGGGAGGGCTGGCGACAACTTTCGGGAGGGTTTCGAGGATGGAGGTACGAGAGGGCATGATAGGCGCGCCGGATATGGTTGTGTCCCAATATCGTCGGTTCTGAGACAAGGTTGTTAGCACCAAGTATTGAGGTAAGGTCAGGATTGTGGCTCACATCCTCGTCGTTGATGATCACCCTCTCCCCATCGTTGACATTGATACCGTAAGTCGTCCTTATCCACCGTTCCCAGAAAACACCATCCACCCACGCAAAGCCGACTTGCTTCTTGTCGTCTTCTCTGATATCGATATGGATGCTTTTAGCCGACCGTAACGCTCGTTGGTCGTTTCGGTCTTCAGCCTCCTCAAGACGTAATTGCTTCGCATCCCGAAGCTCCTGGCGCTCTAGTTGGAAAGCATGTGTCTGCTTCTCCATCCAGTCCAGCGCCGCATTCTTGATTTCGCGCTTATCGAGCACGAACTCATCTGCCCGCTCACGAGATAATATACCGAGAACGACATACTTGCCACGCATAATCTCTCGAGAATTCGATGCGGTAAGCTCGGGCACGATAGGCAGCCACACCGATTGCATCCAGCCGAGCACTTGTCGAAAGTCTCGCATGTCTTTCGGTGCCAGCACATTGTAATAACTAGGCCTTCCGTCTCTTGATACCAGCAACCGCGGCCACGTCGAAATCTTGAATCGATCGGCAAGCTCTTTGTTGTCCGTCTTGACAAGCTTTGCGTGCCCAATCAAACTCAAGGTCAATCGCTCCAAGGCTTCGAAATCCTCGACTGTCGTAGCGTGGTCGAAAAAGTACAAGAAAATGACCTCCTCGGTCTCTTCCATCTTCTTGAAAGCATCTGCATCCACGTCCGTCACTCCGCCACCAACATCCAAGGCTTTCTTTGCGTAGCTCACGAGATCTCCAAGACCTCGAAGCCCATCATACTCGACTCTTTCACCGCCCTTGAAGAAGTGAACCGTTGGGTAAGCTCTGACATGGACGTCTTTGCAAAGACGAACTTCGACATCACAGTTGACTTCTCCAACATTGAGCTTTCCTTGAAGTTCCTTGGCCATTTGCTGCCAGGTTGGTGCGAGGTCTTGGCAGTGATGACACCACGGCACGTAGAATTTAACGAACCAAGGATCCTGCGTGTTTGTGACCAGTTTTTGGAAGCTTTCTTGCGTCAAAGAGACAGAGTTGCCAAGAGGGTTTGGGGCAGCTGATGGCTTCTTGGGCTTTTTTGGAACCCCTGGAATCTTGCTCATAGCTTTAACGATCCCTGTCTCCGCAGCCGGTAGGGGTGAGTCCTCCACTACCTTATCTTTATATTTCTCCGCGGCTGCCTTTCCTGCCGCCGGGTCCTTGTCCTTCTCTGCAGGCTTCTCAGCTGGAGCGGCGGTATCGACGGACGTTGCTTCAGGCTCTGGGAGCTTCATGCCATCTTTCGGTCTCGAACCCGGGCGTGTGGATTCCAAGGTGTCCTCAATGAACGCACTGAGGCCGGCCATATCTTTTGTGCCCTCGAACTTCTTGACGAACTTGCCGTCTTTGTAGAGAGAGAATGTTGGGAAAGCACCGACTTTATGCTTTGTGCAGGCGTCGCCGTAAGCTACACAATCCAATGATCCAAAGTGAAAGTCGTAGTAGCGGGTAAAGGTATTCAGTGAATCAGACTCCGAAGGTTTCTTGCCGGCAGGGACCGGTTTGGAGGTATAGTAAAACTCGTAAAGCGTTTGCCACGTTGGTGCTATGGCTTTGCAATGGTGGCAGTAGGGCGAGTAGTGCTTCACAAACCAGTAGCCGTTCTTAATGTCTTCATCATATCCCTCCCCTGTCAGCTCCTTCATTGGCGGCACTTCCATGTCGTTGAACTTTGTCGCTGTACCCGATAGTGCTTCACTGTTGGTAGCTCCTGCTTTTGGCCCATCTTCAACTAGCTTTGCCTCTTCTATCTTTTCTTTTGGCAGATTTACCTCTGCTTGTGGCAGATCTAAAATTTTGGTTGTTGGATCTTCTGCCAGTGCCTTCGAGTCTTCCGACTGTGCCTTTGTCTCTGATAATGCATCTTCCACTGTATTGAGTTGATGTTGGGCGTCGATCACAGCAGGTTTGGCAAACACTGGAGATAGCAAGACGAGAGTAATCAAGGCCCTCGATATGAATGAGCGCATGATGTGGGGAGGCTCTTAGGAGCGGTAGGTCGCGCACGGGTTGTAGAGGTGGTATCGGGAACCTGCTGCAGAGAGAATCTGATGAGTGTCTGATGCTAGGAAGAAACGGAGTATCGCAGCGCTACTGAAAGAGCGACTTCCTCTCTCATGCGGGGGGCATCCAACTGTTCATCAGAACTTGAATACCGATGCTCAAGGGTAGTCGCAATTGTAGATGTGTGAGGAGATTAGTTCGTGTGCTGGACAGGAGACAGAGTGGTCGGGGTCAAAGATATGCGAGAGGCGTGGACCCCTGTCCCGCCGCGTCTTGGCACGCGCAACAGGACTTCTAGGCCTAGATATTCCTTCTTTGATCAACGTGCTACAGGCGTACACTCTCACTCCTCACTCTCACGCATGTACTCAAGTCTTTGTTGTCGGGTAGGGGAGGATGGTACTTGTGTGTACAGGTTTACCGTATGCACTAAGAATGCTTGAATAGGTGCAGAAAGGGCCTAAACGCAGAAATCAGCTAATCTTCTGTATGGAGACGAAGGCTGGTCTATTTGTATCTAATAAGTATTTGATTGTCAGAACATGAAAAAACCTCTCTCCTGCATCTTGCTTTTCTCCTTTTACAACACATCCCCCACAACTCCGCTAGGCGATAGGACTTCCTGGCAGCTCGATCTTTCTGGAGATCTCATGCCGAAAGTCTTTAATGCTCGACGATATAACACATTGATGCGCTAGCTACGCACGCCTCCTCGTTGTCCTACAAGACATCTTAATGCTCCATTTTCAAGCTTTGCTTCGCATATTATCGCTTTCAAAACCTCTGTGGCGACTGATGCACAAGCCCTGCTGGTAGATATGGCGGTCAGCCATAACGCAGTTCGACATAAGGTTAAGGCCTTTTCAGGAGAGAAGGCGCCCCCCACTCGGGGAATCAGGCATCGGAGGACAGCAAATCTTTTCGGGCAACACTACCTCACGTCGAGGCTCACAGCTGAAAGCAGAAGAGGCCTGCCAACAAAGATCTTGCACAATCGAAGATTGCTATCAGGCGCTGCTAAGGTATCGCTCTTCAAGAATAGACGACGACAGAACGGAGAGTCATCTAACAGAAATGGGTGGTGGTCATGCTGCAGCTACGCTGGAAGCCACTCTCGGCGACAATGACCAAGAAGTTGACACGACGCACGCAGCTAGTGACTTTGAGCACCTAGATACTAACCTTCATAGGCGAGAAAGAAAGGCCAGATCATGGACTGGATCTATCAGGACAAAGGGTAGCTCATCTCTCCGCAGAAAAGGCTAAGCAAACCTTGCATACGACCGACTTCGAAAAGGTTACAGGACTTCCTCGGCGCACCTCCGGAGACATACGATCTCGAAGACCTCCCTAGACAAGTTCTTGAGAAACTTCGAACATTCTACGCTGCCGAAATCCTGGCATCTGGTGAGCCTTTGAACAGATTGGCGGCTCTTTCCGGACCTAAAAACGCTCAGCCGGATCTTGTTATGCACTGCCAGTCGAAAGAGGGCGAAATACGCGAATCCTGGGATATCGAAAGTCGTAGCATCCAGACATTAGCTGCAAAAGGTCTTAGCATAGATTTCATGTTCGGCTTTGATTGGATGGCGAGGGGAGACTTCTGCGCGTGGAAGGGGCCCCTGCTCAGCTACGAAATAGACTAAGACTCTACAGGACCTTCATAATGCGTTGTCTTGCAATATGTTAGAAGTTCTGCCTCTTCGATTAATTATAATTGCTGGATCTTATCCGAAGGAGCAATCCCGCAAAAATATATCGAACAGGGCCAAAAAAATGAGCTTGATCTCACACCAAAATTAATCATCGAGTCCGACCTCGACTTCAGGTCAGATAGTCTGCGACGTATCACCGCATACATGGATCATCCATCAGCAAGCTTTTTCCGTCCGAACTCATCTGTACAAAGATCATTTTGCCAAGAGGCCACCCTGAATTTCTTTCTGTGGCTCACAGGCAAGACGTGCTCGCTTTTGACACCCACGACGATCCAGCGCGAGCATCGAAGGGGTGTACCTGGGTCGGCTCCTTTGAAAGAGCTATGGCGATACGTGCAAATGGAAATAGATATGAATCGAAGACTAGAGTAGCAGGAATATGAGCAAGGTTTTTTGACCTGGGCGCGCGAATTCTTGAAGACCCAGCTGAGGTCCTCAAAAGAAGGTATCCTATCGTTGGAACCATTCGTGACGACATACGCAGCCGCATCGAAGTCACCAACTCTGGGCCAGAACAATTGGCAAGACGTGCCAATCTCAACCGACAGCTCAACGAATGGCGGTATTGATACTCAGTTCGCGAATACTGGCATGGCGAAACCGTACGCATTCAAGGAACGGCGATCTTCGGATTCTGGTCTCTACCAGTCGACCAGCGCTATTAGCGAGGCTAGGCAAAATGGTCTATGGCAAGATTCAAGGATACGGAAGCTCTCCTGTCATCATATTTTCGAAGACGGGTATCGCACTGAAGTTTGGAGAGAGTATTGTGTATGAGGATTATGGGAAGATGCTGTTAGGTCTCAAGCACGGGCTAAAATGGGTTGAACAGCTGGATCGGGAGGTTACCCATCTTGGACAGCAGTGATCCACGGCTAGTTCATGACTCAATTCACGGTTCTTCGGCGATTTGAGACGGATGCGTGTATATGAGAACCGATAACGCTATGACTTTGGTCAGAGAATCACAATTTGTTGGTCGTGACTTCACTTACTTCTTTTACCATGCTGCCAACGACCAGCCAATGTCGGAGGCCTGGGGGAAGAGTAATGCGTGTAGCTTAGATGCGACAAAGATGGCAGTATCACAAAATAGCCCTGCGGTACTTTCAATCAATGGTGTTCGAGAATGGCAGCCCGAGATGTTGTTGACGTTGCATTCGTGATGGGGGAGCAGGGAATTGAAATCGTGAAGTCACGACTATGACACGTAACTAAAGATCAAGAACACAACTTTACGAAAAACTTGGCACGGTTCTTGATTCTCTTCGCTGTCTTCGGACAACAGTTTAGTCCAACTGTCCAATTGAAAGGGATCCAAAAAATGCAAACAATTGTGACAAGCAGCGATACTCTCCCAACTAATGGGACATCAACAAGGTTTCGCAAGTCACTGGACAGACTACCCAGCGAAGGTAAAGTCGCTGATCTATTAAGAAATGGGTGTTTATTTTAATTGATGTTCTGTTGTAATCTTTATCATTTTTGCCAGGCTCGCACGAGCGTAAAGCGGCGGTCACCCTAGGCCTGATAAAGGGTGAGATCGGGGTACATCTCGTATGTCTTGGCACTTTCTTCCGCCGTTCGGTGCCTTGGGTGTGGTGGGTGACAATATCGATTTCACGTCACCACCTCAGTTTCAATTTCGTCTACTCAATTGAGCGCTTGGGTGTGGTTTCGGTTGAATGGGATGATAAGACCAAACTTAACATGAGGAATACAATACGATTGCTTGCCTCCGTCAAGCCAGGCCGCTACCTCGAAGCTGGCAATCCGACAGGCCTTACAGGTCTCTTCACCCACCCGGCTCCACGATCCACCCTCCTCTACCTCTATGGCGCTACCCTCGACAAGCTCAAGGCTTTCCCAGACCACTCGGTCTACCGTCAATCCGTAGAAGCATTGACGAGACACCGCATGCAGATCATCGAGTCCATCAAACCAGAAGGCTACGATGAATGGGCAAAGAAAGCCGCTGAAAAGATCGAGAAATTTCCTGAAGCCTTCCAGCCTGGGGCAAATTATAATTACAAATCCGCTGGTGGTCAACACTTTGTGACGGTGGAAGACAAGGGATCTGAGGATCAAGAATGGACATCATTGGAGGGCACACGGACTAGTGAGGAGAAGGCAGCGGAGGTCGCGTTGTTGAGAAAGGGACGCCGACAAGACTATTCGAAAGTTGTCAACTGGGAGCCCGAGCCGCCACTGGAGGCGTCACAGTACGTCAGACATCTCGACTTCTTGAATATGATCTGCCTTTCGTAATGTGCTGATGTGCTCGTCCACAGGATAAGCGAAGCGGAAAACCAGATCGGAGGAGGACTGATTGAGGAGGTTATACAGGTGGCAGAGGGAGAGCTGAAGCTGGTGGACACCATGGCCGAGTCCAAGGTGTACGTATCCCGTCTCATGGCATTTCGATCGACAGAGGGCGTCTATCTCTTACGTAGATCAATGCTGACATCTAACATAGATGGGAGGATATCGAAGAGAAGCCGCCGCAAGGTCAATGGGATTATTTTGCTAGAGATCAACACACTTCGGGCACTCAGGAGCCCCCAAATAAGTAGATACCTACTCAACCAAGGATTCCGCAGAATATTCATGAACCCCAGACCAACGCTAATCAATGCGACTCTAAGTTGAAGCTGATTTTCCAACAGAGTGGCTCCTTTGTTTGCCGTTCTTATTCCTCTTTCCACGTCGGTACCTGCTAAATTGAAAAAAATCTTACTCCATACGAGCATAAGAATTCTGCGACAAAAGGGCATGTCATCCACAGATTTCACTCAGCATGAATGCCATCAAATCCTTCTCCGTCCTGCCTATCTTTCCTCATTCGTATCCTTGAATAAGATATCCGATGCGGTTAGTTTGGATCAGATAGAGAACCGCCATATGACCTTAGACGCGGACGAAAGCAGACCCCCGGCTTTCTGTAGCCCGACGACCATGGTTGACTGTCGGACATGGAGATCGATCAGTCAAGTATCCTCTCAGACATAGCGATTGAGATTGTTGGGTGAGGCTTTGCCCGACGACCATGGTTGACTGTCGGACATGGAGATCGATCAGTCAAGTATCCTCTCAGACATAGCGATTGAGATTGTTGGGTGAGGCTTTGCTATCTGTTTCCGTGGATCTTTTGTATCGTAGTCAGAGGTTCGAATTCGTACGCTTTTCCGCTGATACCCATTCTCACCGCAATGCGCCATCGCCTCGACTTATTGACCAGGGTGAGTTTGGAGGTGAACGCGTCTTTCTGCTCATGGAGCTCGATCTAGATACCACCGTAACTCACGAGAGGCATTCTAGCAACCAGAATCAATGATCCATAGCATATCTCAAATTGGCATCATCCATCCTGAACCACCAGCTCTCAGAGCCAGCGGGGCTCTAATCATACAACTTCCATGTATATCAACTCAGCATCCGATCCTGAATTGAGACTCCCAATCAGAGCCTCAAACTCATCTGCGAGCCTAGGCTCTCAATCGCCATTTGGGACATATCTTGTGCTACCATCTCAAAGACGCCCCTCCCGCACTCCTTCTGCACCCTCAACACCACTTTCAACTCCCGCCCTTTCCGACACCCTTCCACAGCACCAACATGGTTTTCGGCCACGCCGACGAAGGATCGGCCGGCCAGTCGACCAAAGACAACAAACCCGTATCCGCCACCGGACCGATGCTGCAAGGATCCAAATACTGGATGCCCACTCAATACGCATACCCGAAAGAGACCAAAGCGGTCATAATCCGCTGCGACAGCGAAGCCTACCCCTCAGAAGGCCGCCGCGTCTACCAAACCACCACCATCTCCTCCTTCGAGACCCAATTCCACCTCAACGACGAGCCCCTCGACATACCCACCCTGGTCGGCCTCCCGCTCTGGATGCGCCAACACCCCTGGACCGGCGCCCGCGGGGACGAGCTCAAGCCCGGCCGCGAGAGCGAGATCGAGAACCCACTCGCCCGCCCCCTCTGCCGGAACGGACGGCCCGAATCCTCACGGTTCGGCGCGCCGCCCTCGCTGAAAGGCGACAAGCTGGTCGCGCGCCTGGACGGCAAAGACCTGCTGGTGCAGCATCTGGTCTGTCTCGGCGCGTTCTGCAATTTGGTCGTGGCACGGTTTTCGAAGACGGAGGTCGGGAGGGGAACGGGAGAGGGCGGGGTGAGGAGATCGGAGAGGGGTGCGACGGGGGAGGCGGAGGAGTGCGCGAGGGAGAGGGGGGTGCGGTTTCGGGGGATGGCGAACAGGGAGAGTTTTCGGTCGTATTGGGTGTGGTGGCGCCGGCAGAAGTTCGACGAGTCGGGGTTGGAGGAATGGTTGAGGATGAGAGGGCCTTATGAGATGTGAGGGGTATGAGATGTTGTTTTAGAACTGTAGACCGGCCTCGACGGTGGTTTATAGCGAGACACTCATCTTATTATGCGATTGGAAGATCAGGTCTCAGAGGAAGAGGCAGAGAGGAGAGATGTCTGTATCAAACCAGGTTGCCGAGTTCGCACAACTCACGCTGTCCATGATAAGTGGTGATTCTGCCAAACTCTCGGCCACCACAATGTCGTAGTATTACAAGTAACCATAAAACCATTCACACCGAGAAAACACCCTCCTTATTAGGACCTGCAAGCAAACGATCCGGCCCAGTCCAGTCAAGCGACGGATCGACATGCAAACAGACCCGGTCCCGCGCGCACGAGATGTAGTGCCTATCTATCACCTCCAACCGTCCCAAATGCCAACGTCTCTGGCCGAACACGGGTGTACGCAAAGTGTCTCATGAAGGGGGCCTTAACCAGTATACATACTCTAGCTTTCATCCTCCTCGAGAAACTCCGCCGAAGCACAGCTTTTGAGTGCAATTCCTCTCGAGCGCTGCCCATGCGATAAAGACCGGATGGTGTTCGGATGCGGGAGAAGAGCCATTGAACCTCCACCTCGCGTTCCTGTTCGCGGTCTCGTTGTCGGTTTTTGATGACTCGGCCGTTGAGATGGCTTCCTGGGTGGCCTAGCACCAGGTACTCGTGCGGGCAGGCCTTGGTTCACTTTACAATGGATTGCTTCTGGCTTTCCGTAAGTGTTTGGCGAGGTTTATATTGTGATTTGAGATTTGCTATCGTATGGAGACAGTCATGTATGTAAATCAATGATACATGTGGTGTAGGGGACGGTGGGGAAATCCTACCCTACGAATATACAAATCCCGCGGTCAATACGGTGTGTGCACCAAATTTCCAGACCCACGTATTTTTGGCTGACTCGCTAAGATTAAGGCAGCTAATGTCTCGAATATCGCATCATTCGATCCCAGTAAACCCACCTCCTCTACCATAAAGACTCTCGACAACCACCTCCCTCAACAATGCTGCCAGATCACCCTCTGGTCCTCCACGGCGGCTGCAACTGTCGCGCCATCCGGTACAAAGTCCAAGTGCCCGCCCGCGCCGAACGTCCCCTGAACCCCTTCTCCGACGGCCAAGTCCCCTTCCCCATGGTCGCCACCGACCACTGCAACGACTGCCGTCGAGCCACGGGCTCCATCCTGCCGACCTGGATCTGCGTGCCCACGAGCATGATGTCGTGTCAGCTGCAGCCCGTCTCCCCCACCAACCACGAAACAGCCGTCCCCCCCGCCCCGTCCCCATGGATCCCGGCCGTCGAACTGTTCAAACCGGGCCCGAACGAGGACTCCTACCACCTGAAATTCTACCAGTCGTCCCCGGCCATCACGCGGACGTTTTGCGGGCGCTGTGGCACCAACCTGACTTATTTCATCCGCCACGGCATGGGTGAGGGATTTCCCGAGATCTTCGATGTGGTTTTGGGGACGCTCGATCGGGAGGATCTGGAGCACGAGTGGATGGCGCCGGACAGGCACTGTTGGTGGAGCTGCGGGATCAATTGGGTGCAGGAGCTGTCGAACGGGGGGAAGGTTTTGCCGGTGCATCCGAGCTTCAAGGTCAATGAACTTGTGGGGTAGGGTTAGGACAGGGTTCAATGTTGGAATTCAGCACCTCAGCCCTATGTATTGTGCTTGGCATGTACTACAAGTAGCACCCGTCCGGTCCGTAGAAAAACAACAAGCCGTCATCAATTTCAATATTCAGGGTGCCCAATGGTCCGAACCTCATATTGATTTGGGACGCCAATAAGATTACCTAGTCTGTGAGACTGAGTAAGAATGACGAAGCGTTATCATCGAAATCAAGCCGGATCATTGGGCGCCTTGGCCCTTGAGTGTCATTCGTTCGGGAGAAGAAAGTGATGGCCGTTCTTTTAGCTTGCGACTTTTAGCGTGATTCAAGCGGCCACCAGGAGAGGCTTTAATGTAAGCTTACCTTGAAGAAATGTCGGCGTTCGAAAGCCTAATTGAAGAGAGTTTGTGAAGCCGATGTCAGAGCCGACGTCAGGCCTGGACTTCGTGCATCATTGCTCCGACGAACATCATATGTACCATCATACACAAGTAGCATTGCACGCAACGACATCAAAGTGCGACTTCTGAAGCTGCGACTGGCAGGCAGTGAGCTTTAGCTGATTTCTACTTCTTGCGTGCCGGCAGCAACCACCGCTGTCATTGGTCCACCCAACCAGATGCAGTGTGATTGCTCTTGGAGCACGCGCCACCCGTCTCGGAGAATCCCCCTCTTAGGGACACGTCAAAGCGCATGGACTTGAGTCAAACCGTCAAGATGATCCATTGGTACATCCACGGAGCCGAATAGAATTCGCACGCGCAAATCTACGGTAGGCCATCGCTGATCTCACTAACGGGAAGGCGGTTGACGATGGACAGATATGGTCCGTTGTGCATTGGCAAGTGCCACGGTAGCGTAGGTGCTTGACGTCCTACTGCACGATTCAGACCACCAATCACCAATATCCCCAACGAATCAGGTTGTGTGAAGCGGGGATGGAAGATAAGGATTGTAGCTTCTCTTTCGCTTGTACCTTTCCTTGCCATCCTGTCCTACACTGGTGGCCCCCGCTCCATTGTAGGGTCAGCATTCTGTCTTCCAGTCTCGTAATTTCTAAACTGTCCATGATATCGCAAGAATAGGTCATATACAGATTTATTTTGTTTCAATTTGGCCATGAAGACGAGCTCTGAAGATTACCATCTATTGAGTGATGATGAGCTTCTTGAGGATGAACCAACCTTTCCTCTTCATCGCCGTACCTTGCAAGGTCGGCCCCGATACGTCGTACCGCTAATCCTCACATTGATCGGTTCTCTATGTTTGAACGTCTTTTTTGGTACCCGGAATCTGCAAATTCCTGATTTTACACATCTGAGCAACAGTGGCAGGAGTTATTTCGGTATTGATCACGGTATATCTATACCAACGAGAGATCCGCTAACATAGATGTCAGCTGGGCTTTCCCGTGATGTTCCAACCACTTTCGAGCGCGGGGGTGTTTATTTTGACGACAACGAGACGATCAGCAACGCAGCATGGGATGCGATTGAATACTATCACGGCACTGTAGCCCTCGACCACGATTATGCAGCGTCGAAGGGTCTACCGCGATCGCAAAACTTTCCATGGGACGACACCAAAGGCATCTACTTCCTGAACGGGTTCCACGATCTCCACTGCGTGGTCAGTACACCCACAACCCCCAGCCTTGATCAATATCATGGTTACAAATCTCCCGATCAGTCCTAATCTTCCCTATCTGCAGAAGCGCATTCGACGAACGATGCTGCAGCTCCGTGATGGCGTCCCCCTCACCTCCCCGGTCTCCCACTCCCTCCATTGCCTCAACTCGCTGCGCCAAGACATCCTCTGCGCCGCCGACGACACCCCTCTCTACACCAGTTACGACCACCCCGGCGCCGTCGGTTTCGACCAACCGCGGAAATGCCGAAGCTGGGAAGCGCTCGAGGATTGGGCCAATGAGCGCACGGCGTGCTGGCGCGATATAAATTCTGGTCAGCATATCGATACGCTGTTTAGGTACCGGTACTGTCCCGAAGGGTCACCGTATAATGAACACATCCGTGCTATCTTTGGGGAGTTTGAGAAGGGGGAGAATGCAAGTGCTTTTACCTGAGAAGATGGCAAAGGTGGAGTCTAAGGGCTGGCCTGTTCTTTCAGGACGAGAAAGTTGTGGGCTTGAGTAGGGTTCTTGCAACAACTTCTTTTTAAAGACCTTACATCGAGAAAGTTATATCTTAGGACGATGCACTCTTGAGTAAAGAAGCAGAGCAGCAACACCTGTTGCAATTGACTAGCAACGGCAAGGTGACGGTGAATCCGCACACGACTGCTGTCGCTATTTCCGTGACATATCTAACACGATAAAACAAGACCTGATCAGAGGAAAGATCCAAGATGCTTGCTCAACACACTTCCAGCTCGACCCGCAACCGAAATGTCCACCATCATCATTGACGAAAAGCCCAAACGCATCTACTTCCACAGCACCCTCTATACCGACCTCTCCTCCCAGAACCCCCCCCCAGCCATACCACCAACTCATCCTCTCACCACCCCTTCCCATCTACCTACACCACCGATCTCCCCATCCACCCGCCAATCCCCGTCAACGAAGCCCCATCCATCCATCCCCCGATCCAGCCTTTTCCAAAACCAGACCTCAACCGCGAACCCCCCCCCCCTGTCGGACTAGAACAGATCCGCCGATTTCGATAGATTGCCCGCCTGCAAGCCAAGCACGCTAAGCCGCCGGTGCGATACATACAATAACATACTCGTAGCATCGACCCAATACTGTAGTGCCCGCCCACATTCTACCGCTGCTACGTAGAGTATGTATGTATGTATGTACTCTACCGACCGACCTCACACTCGGTACATACCGTACTCAACAGGCGCGATGACGCAACGAGATAAGGTAAGGCGAGCGAGGCGGTAGCGGAATGTCGAGTCCGGCCTAGGCATGCATGCACGTACGTATGTATGTATACCGGCGAATCAAGTCCAACGCCCAGCACACGCACCCGATCGATCGATCGAGAAAGACAGACAGACAGGCCATCGATCCTGTTTTTGCATATGTAATCGGCCTCCATCCCCGCCCTTTTTTCCAACGACAGAATAAGTCATATAAACCAAACCGTCCTCCACAGCGCCTGGTCTGGACTCGGCTTGTTCGTTGAATCGTCCACCCTACATACACACAAACACCCATACATACATACACAACCCCCCACATCCACCCATCCCACATCCACCCATCCACAACCTCCCCAAACCCACCATGCATCCCCACCCAATAACCCATCTCCTCTACGCCCTCCTCGCCATGACCACCGCCCTCGCCGCCCCCACACCCGCGCCCGGTGCGTAACCCCCCCCCCTTACGCTCCACATCCACATCTCCATATCCATCCATCGAGTAACTCCATCCAACTAACACCCCCCCTCACACAGACGCCCACGCCCACGCAATCGCAGAGGTAAGCCTTACCCCCCACCCCCCCTCCCCCCCCTCCCCTCCCCCCTCCCCCCCTCCCCCTCCCCCCCTCCCCCCTCCCCCCCCCTCCCTCCCCTCCCTCCCCTCCCCTCCCCTCCCCTCCCCCCTCCCTCCTCCCTCCCCCTCCCTCCCCCTCCCCCCCCCCTCCCCCTCCCCCCCCTCCCCCCCCCCCTCCCCCTCCTCCCCCCCCTCCCCATCCCCTCCATCCATCCATCCCCCCCTCCATCCCATCCCCCCCTCTCCGCCTCCAATACAACACAACCACGTCCACAACCACGTCCACAGCTGAGAAAAACCCTCGTGCGCAGTTCGATTACGGCGCCCACGCGCCCGTGGCGAGGGACGGGTACGCGGTCCCGGCGCCGCCGGCGGACAGTATTACGTGAGTGTGGTGGTGGGGCGGGGGGGGGGGAAGGGGGAGGGAAGGGGGAGGGTTGAGGGCTTGGGTTTGGGTTGGTGTTTTTGGGTGAGGGATGGAAGGTGGAGGAGGAGGAGAGGAGAGGAGAGAGGAGGAGGAGAGGGGAAAAGATGCGGGATGCGGGGAGAGGTATATCGCTCGCTGGAAGATTGATGTCGATGCTTTTAGGAATGGAATTCGTCGCTTCACTCGCTCTGCGAAAGGGGGAGGCTGCGGACGTTTGATTTGCGTGCCAACTTTTTTTTCTTCCGAATGTATGCGCACAAGGGGTGTTGATGTGGCGAACGAACGTTGGGGAACGGGATCCTGGACAAACTTGGAATGGACGTACTCTCTCCGTATTCCATAGCGGGTAGTGCCAGACCGTACACAAACCACAACAGCAGAGCAAAACAGCACAGAAATCACCGCGGTGAACAATGACAATTATAATACAAAAGCCGCAACCCCACGCACCCACCCACCCGATCCCTCACCGAACCACCCTCAATACGTGACCAAAAGCCTCGACCGCAACCTCACGCGCTCCCCAAACCACATCAACAGAAGCGGCACGGGGACGAAAACGAGCGCGACGACCGCCAGCACCGAAGTGCCCCAGCCGACGCCGAGCCGATCATACAGGCACGGGGCGACCAAGGGGAACGCGGCGCCGGCGACGCAGCGGAGGCTGATGGTAACGGCGAGGGCGGAGGCGGAGTGGAGGCCGAAGGCGTCGACGAGGTAGCTGAAGGCCGGGAGGAGGGTGGCGGCGACGGCGAAGCCGAGGGTGGCGGTCGCGACGACGGGGGCGGGCCAGGGGGCGCGGGTCTGGACCGTCCAGCCGTACCAGAGCAGGGCGGCGGGGATGACGAGGCCGCCGGCGATCATGGGGGGGAGGCGCTGTTCGGGCTTCATGGCGCCGCCGCGGGTTTGGACGCGGGAGACGTAGCGGTCGAGGGTCGCTTGGCAGAGGAGCAGGCCTGCGGTGAGGCCGATGCCTGTGGGGTCCGTCAGCCGGGGGGTTGGGGAAGAGGATGGATGGATGGATGGACGTGCCTAATCCTAGGAAGGTGAGACTGGCCGAGCCGGTCGAGAAGCCGTATCTCTGCTCGAAGACTTCGGTCATTGTGGTCAAGAGCACGTACGTGTAGGCATAGACGAGGGCGACGTAGAGCCCCAAGAGGAAGATGACTGGGGACAGAAGAAGCATCCGCGCCGGCCGCATGACGGAGACGGTCAAAAAGCCCATGATTGTGTGCGTGACGTGGTGGACGGATTTGTAAGAATCGTCACCTGTTACTTTCCTCAGTCGGGCAGCTTTCCGCTCCAAAATCCGCACCTTGTAGGTCTCACGGAAGAAGGCGAGGAACCCGATCTCGGTGATGCCGGCGAATATAGCTGCCAACCAGAACAACCAGCGCCAACCGATCGCTTGGGATACGTAGCCTCCGATTACAGGGCCCAGGACTGGCCCGATCAGTGGAGCTATGCCCTCAATAGCCATGGCATTGCCTCGTCTCTCGGTCACGAAAAGGTCTCCAACAATGCTGGGATTGAGAACGATGGCCCCCACGGTGATGCCGTTCAAAAATCGAAATGCAATAAACATGTGCATATTAGTACTGACGGCCCCAGCGATTGAGAAGATGCAGAAAAGGATGTTGACGGCATTGTATACCGGTGCTCTGCCATAGATTTCAGATAAGGGCGCGATGAACAGGGGTCCGAATGCTTCGCCGAGCTCCCAGATGGACACGAGGAGTGTCTGATAGAGTTGATTGTTGGAAGAGAATTCCCGCAATATTAGTGGGGCCGCGGGTGCGCACATGAGAGTTGCAAGGTTCCTGGCTTTGGTGAGTTAGGGACAATGTGACGGATGGCAATGATGGCGCGTACGTGACCAGGGTCATTGCGGATATCAGGCCCACAAGGCACCATTTGCGCGTATTTGACCAATTGAGAGGGTTCTCTGGATCATCGGGGCCGTCAAAGTCGACGACATGTCTATCGACTCGGTCTTGAGTCGCGCTTTCCGCTTCCAAGGATCTAAATCCAGAATCCTTTTCAAGCTTTGCAGGATCCGATGCGATCTCAGGTGCTTCAGTTGCGTAGCTTTCCATCTCGATGGACCCGTCGAATTTGCCAGCACCTCAACACGGATGCAATTGCATGTTAATCAGCTTTTTCATGTCGGAACCATCTGTGTTCCGTGTGTTGCCAACAGAATATTACGAAAGTGGCAAAGACCGGGTAAATCAGAGAGTGTCATGATCTAGGAGATGTTGCAGACACGCTTAAGGGTAAAGGAGAAATGAAAATGTAGGAAAGGTGTCTGCGATGTATACAGCAAATGCAACTTGAACGATGGCATTTGAGAGCAGACGAGCGATCGAATAGGCGGATTAAGCAAAGAGTGGATCCGTGTGACTGGATGATGATGCGCGAAACAAGAGACATTGGCCAGCCAAAGGCCATTCGTGCGGCAATGTAGCCGCGTGCTTGCTTCCTTCGAGGCAGGAAGGTACACTTCTGTTCTGCTAGGAGACATATCGCACAGTCCTGCATTATTCTTTTTCATTGGGCGTCTGGAAAGGTCAGTGCTTCGATGGACAATTGTAATGTTTTCGGGTGGCAGCATTAGGAGGCACACGGCATAAGAATGAGCATGATGGAGCCTGGTCGAAGGATTTCATGACGCAGGAAACATTGTTAAATAGGCAGTCGAAAGCTTCAGGGGAGCTGGTAGTGCAAAGTGCGTAAGCGAATGTTGTTCACTGTCCTCTCAGTACCGGATGATCTGTCAAGCAGGGGGCTGGTTGAAGGACTGAGCACCTTCCTCCTTGGGAGTCACTCCGTCCAAGCTACTTTATTATCCGAGTTATTATCCTTAGCTATCCTACATGTAGCTACCTTATCACCTTATCCCTTGGCCGCTGTTCAAGGACGACTTAAGATAGGCGTTAGACATTCAGTTGGTATCTAGCAACTAGCTTCCCCCACCATCAAGATTAGGTAGGTAGCTAGCTTACACTAACAGTGCGAGCCAGCCGATGACGCCTTTGGTGATGAGAATTGATGATAGATCTAATATGTTGTATGATATGGGGCAGCTGGAAGGTCAAAGCAGTCAACCCTTAATACCAATGGATGGAACATGCGGGGTAGAATGGTTGTTCCGGGCCACAGGTTGTACAGCCACAACGATAAAGTACCTTAGCTCCGGATTCTGTTAACGCCGCGCCGTCGCGGACACTAAAGTAAGGTATTCTGGATGAAGTTCGGCACCGATTTAAGGCATTGGCGCGGTCCGACTACCCTACAACCGTTGGTGCAACGCGCCGGTGTGCTAGAAATGAAAGCTACTGGATGATGGCGTGCCCTTGCAAATGAACAGCAGTCCCATTCGACTGACTTGATTTGTTGTTCTTGATTCCTTATCACGCCTATGACGCAGGTGCGGGTACTCATAGTTCGGTTCACTCAATGAGTGGCCTGCGTGTATAGAGCCTTAGTGTCACCTTGTTATGTACCTTCGTGTATAGCTCCGTCTAGGGACTAGGTCCCTTCGAATCCCCCACACCACCACCCGTTCCCCGTCTTGCGATGACTAAATGATCCTGCTGTTGATTCCCGGGTTCCTGAGGCTGGGACGTGATCAGCCCCGCCAGTCACTACGCAAGCCGCTTCCTACCTAGCTATCTCATACGACAACCTACGGGTACGAGTATTCTATCGACCCCTGGTTGATGCAACCATGTGTTTGCGGCACAGGGCGAACCCTCACGACCCCGTGGGACCTCATCTCCCGCATCAAAAGGACTGGGGAACGCTTCCTTTTTGCTCTATCATGTCGCTTTTTTTTACTTTGTAGTGCTGTCTTCCCTTGATTCGATTCGCGCAACACCAAGCCCGGGCTTCTGTTGGGCATTGTTTGTCCCTCAGAATTCATTTATCGCCTTGCAGCTTCCTCAAATTCCAGGATGGCCGCTCAGAACGGGAAAGATCAGGTCTACACATTCTCTAATGCCACCCCAGGCGAAGTTTGGGCGATAGGCACCGCGCTGCCAGCGGCGTGCGGCCTTGTTGTCGCTCTACGTTTCACAACTCGAAATCTGCAAAAGGCTCGGATCGGAATCGACGATTGGCTCATTCTAGGTGGTCTTGTACGTTCAAGGCTTTGTTTCGTGCCGTCACTTTCGTCTGACAACACCATCATCTTTAGATTACCTTTGTTGGGATAGGGATATGTTTCATTATAGGTAGGCGGTCCTTTTCAATGGATCGAGAGCGCGCAATAATTTCAGGATTCAGGAGCGGCTACGCACGCCTTTGGCTATCCGACTCCTCCGTTTCCAGCAGATCTCACGACGCCAGATGAGATACTCAATTACGTTCTTCCGATCTCATCACTGGTGGGGAAGGTGCGCAGAAGAGAGATCATCATATGGACGAGTGGCTGAGATACTTGCAGCTTGAATTCGCCATCCAACTCCTGACGATGGTTTGCTATGGCTTCGTGAAGCTCAGCATCATCGCATTCTATCGTCGAATATTTGTCGTGAACAAGCGCACTCCTTTTGACGTAATAACAAGAGTCACCGGCGTAGTGATCTTCTTGTGGGTAATCACCTTCATACTTATCATCATCTTTCCCTGCGGATACCACATCTCAGACAATTGGGGTTCGGCCGCAAGTCAAGAGGCGCATTGTTTAGTCATAGGCTATACCAGCTTGGAAGGACTTGCGGCCTCAGACTTTATCCTCGATGTGGTCATCCTCGCTCTTCCAATTCCGATGGTAGGTTTGGCCCTGTCCTGTCCGAATTCATGATTTGACAAGCCATTAGATATGGAGCCTCCGCATGACACCCGTGAAGAAGGTTGCCGTTACAGGAATCATGATGCTGGGTGCTGCGTCAGTTACGACCACGGAAATTGAGGTTACACGACGCTGAATTGATATAGATCGCTTGCCGCATCCATCGCACGACTTGTCCTTTACCTCCAGACGCAGAAGGCGGCAATTGAAGAGATTCCTGTAGACTTTGACGGTCAGCGCATCCGAAACACTACTCGATAAGCCCTCAGCTCACCTCGCGTAACAGAAAGCATAACCTTGATCATGTACTGGAGCACGATAGAGTCCGGTCTCGCCCTCATTGCAGCCTGCCTGCCTACTCTCAGCTATCTCTTCAACGGCGTCTCTGTGCAATCGGCCGTAAACAGCGTGCGCAGTGCGTTCTCTCTGGGTTCCGTGCGCTCCACCCGGAAATCAGAACCGAGCCGCGCGGACGTGACCAACCCGTATATCGACATCGAAGCCAACAACTCCTCATCATCTTACGCGAAGATGTACACGCGGCCGGAGACGGCAGACACAAGCACGAACTACCCGATGCAACCCATTGCAGACTACGAAGATAAGACGATGCACGAACAGCCAACAAGCACGGTACGGAATGGCTTGGAGGCATGACTACACAAGGAGTTTAGGGATCAGAAGGACTGACTTGGAGGCATGATCGTAAAGATATTCGGGCAACCTGGCATGAGAAAATGATCGATCGAAGATGTATAGGTATATCTGGTATCTGCATCCTGTAGACCACGACTGTAAATGAAGAGTAGTATATAAGGGCGGAACCAAACCGTATGTCACCTCCTCGCGTCTTCGTAGGGCGAATGACTGGGATTAATGGTAGGATCACTCATTTACCAAACCCACCTGCTCATTTTGTAGACGCGAAAAATGAGCAGCACCCAACATGTACAACTTCATTGGAAAGCTTGCTTGCAATGAATAGGTAGATGACCACTTCCGACCCCTAACGGAGCTACGACTCCGACTCAGAGACGAAAAGAAGATTCCCGCAGAGTAGAGTGAGAGACTCCCCGTAGGTAACGCGGCACCGCGACGCCAATGACCACCGCAGCGTAGGGAAAGAAGAACGCAAATAAAATCAGAATCAAGATAAGATCCGAAATCAAGAGAACAATCAGTCACTCATCTATCCATCCATCGCATCGCATCGCCACTACACACCCGCCCCCCTCCACAACCAAGCCTCCACGACAGTACAGCCAGAGATCACGCCAATACCCTCATCATCTCATGCATATTAAAGTACACAATCCAATCCAATCCAATCCAATTCAATCCAACATCCAATCCAATCCAGTCCCCAATCTCCCACCCAGTCCACAACCCATTCAACACCAGCCCAGTCCCCAATCTCCCACCTACCCACGAGCACGAGATCAACCACCCTACCCTACCCTACCCATATCGAACGGTCGACCCAGAAGATCCCCACCCCCTCTCCACTCCAAACCCCCTCCACCACTCACTCCCACTCCCCACCACCTACCAACCCACCTCCATCTCCATCTCCTCCACACCCAAACTCCGCCCCCCTCAATACCCTCGTCCTTCTTCACGCCAATTCCGCACGGCAAGCATGCCACAACCTCGTCCTCCATCCATCCATCCATCGATGGATCGGTGCAACTTACATACTTACTTACTCACACAGCTACTACGGTTACCGAGATGCCACTCACTCATCCCCTGCCAGTGGTAGTGGTAGTGGTAGTGTGGCACTGCGCTCCATCGGTGCAACTTGCTTACTCTACTTACACAGCCACCACGTACGGTACAGTCACCTACCTTAGTAGCCCTTAGATGCCATCATCCCCCTGCCAAGACCACCCGATTAACCTTACCGAACCCGGGCACTGAGTCCGCAAAGTCTTGGCGTCCGTCGCACGATCCCCGGTTAGAGTTTGTACCCAGATCTGCGGTTTTTACTCTCTACGCCGCTCTACTCTACTTGCTGACAGGCTTATTTATATATAGCGTTCAGCCAGGTAAGTACTATGTAACCGTGATTTCCAGCCTTTTCAGGTGCTAATGAGGTTTGGCTGGGCTGCGGCCCCCTGTAAATATATAGAGCGTCTGGTCCGTTTACGATTTCAAATTTTCATCAAATTATCAACGAAGCCTGTATGACCCGAATGTATCTTTCCTTTTCCTTCACGACGGTGTTCTTGTTGTTAGCCTCCTCGATAGGCATCACTGGACTCACGAGTGACCTAGTCGGCGCGGACTCTCGCTCATCTGGTCGAAATGCAGCAGCGATAGATGCTCGTTCTATTGATGGACATCGACTGGGAAGCAAAAGAAGTCATGATGTCTCCTCAAGATCCAGCAACCATATCGCAGCCTTGATACCCCGGGAACCCCAAGAAGGTGTACCAGCACCACTACCACCAGTGGTCAAAGCACCAAAGCCCGCCACGGCGCCCGAGTCACCGACTGAACCCACCGCGCCTGAAGCGCCTCAAGCACCCAAGTCACCGACTGAACCCACCGCGCCTGAAGCGCCTCAAGCACCCGCCCAGAAGCAAGAGCCAGAGCACAAAGACGACGACGACGACGACGACGATGACGACGACGACGACCACGATGGACCCGAGAAACCCAAGGAGGGGAGCGAAAGTGGTGAGGGCGGGGACGGCGGCGGTGATACAGATACTGGTGATAGCCCGGAAGATGGAGGCAACAGTAGCACCAGCAAATGCGCAAATCCCCGTGGCACAGCTAGCGCCAGTTGTGTTTCGACCGCTACGCCGCTGCTGGGGACGATGGCATCGGCCGTCCCTACGCCCGCAATGATCTCTTCTACATCCTCTTCTCCCACCGCTACCATGACTACCTCGACGACACAAGAGATCGCGCCAGCTTCAACTGCTCCAGCGCCAACTGCAACCTCGCTCACCGCCGCAGCGGGTGGCATAGATGGTCGGAACCCGTTCGCATGGGTGAGAGGGAAGTCAAGAGGAGGCGGCGGCATCGCTATGACAGTCGGTGTTTACACTGTGGCCTATGTTGCCTGTCTGGTCTTCTTTTGGGTTTGACGACAAGGCCAGGTTGAATACTGCGGCGGTGTTGGTTGCGGCTACGGTCTGGATTTATGCTGGGACCTTTGTTGTGGGATGCAAAGCATTTGTTGTGACGTTGGTGCATCGGGTTTTAAAAGTGATGCTGCCCGGAGGCCCAAGGTGGGAATATGAGGGGAGATGAGGAAGCGGGCAAGAGGGAGGAGAAGCAGGCAACGACTCAATAGCTGGATGATCAGTAAGCTGAGGATATCCCGTTGATAGTCAGAGAAGACTTCAGATGAAAAAACATACGCTTCAGACGATGAGATGGTGGTCCGCAAGCAACGTGCATCGAAAGCTGGCGCTAGTACCGCAGACGGTTATACGAGATGCTTCGAGGGGGCGGATGGTGTGTACCAGCCGTTGGATATTCCATGGCCTGGCACTAATAAGTCTTCGCAGCTGCGGCTGCTTGATGTTGCCATGTGAACATAGAAGACGTGGCAGGAGGCCCAGTACCTTGCCTGGCCATGCTATGGGCCATGCTACGCTCAATTGATGAACCGAGAAGACATGGTCGAAAGAAGTCAGCTTTGGCGGACATGATCGGCTCGACCGGAAGAGAGTGAGGATGATGCTAGACACACGGTTGTTCGTGATGGACAGAAGAATTGAATGCCTTTGGCAGCCTATGGGAGAAGGGTTGCAAAGAGATACGATAGGTGAACAGGTGGAAATTGAAGTGTAGGAATGCCATGATGCAAGTGTAAAGAGCAAGATGCAATTGCTGGCTTACCTACTCACTAACTCTTAGCGGGCAGCGCTCCGAGGAACGGCGCGGGTGACGCTAAGGGAATTATCTCAAAGTGATGGTAGATCGAGGTACTTGATGCGTATCTTTGATCATCGGTGAAAATTCTCTCCCTCAATCGGATCATGTAAGCGGTCAACCGTGTTCACCCGCTATGGCCACCGAATGTCTCTCAATCTTTCTCCTTCCCCTCGTTCATCTTTCCTTCATCTCCAAATCTTCAAGTCACCAAGTACATGAGATTGACTTGAGGTCTATATGATTATATCTTTTGGTGCGACAAGCGGTCTACGGAGGATATAAAGCGACCCTCCGTAAGCGTGGGTTTGCAAGCACAACGGCTCGCTTTTTGACCCCACCCCACCCATCTTTCGTTTCGTTTCAACCATTTTTACTCGTCCCAAGGCCATCCCCCCGTGATCCACCTCGCGGTTATTTAGTGGGACCCGTCGATAAGATCCTTACCCAAGGCGCCCGCATCCTACGGCACACTGCAGCAAGGTCTTTAGGAATACTGTCTACCTACTCTTTTTCTTTGATTCAAGTCCTGACGTTGGAAAAAAAGAAAAGGGACGACGGTCGAAGTTCTCTCTAGGTCGCGCGGCGGTTCCATTGATCGGCAGGGGTGTCCGCAGAATTGCCACTGTCCATCGGCTTTCTGTGCCTGTCACCCTACCTAAAAAAAAAAAATCTACCCAGCTTCTTCCAGCATCTTATCTTTGGGGGGGGCACGCGTTACCACTATCAGCCATCTTTGTCTCAATCAGCAGCATCCGCACTTGGTCTGCTGTCGATTGAGGTGCCCGGAGCCCATTGGACTCCCAAACGGCCCCTCCACTCTCAACCTTGCCTTCTGCCACGCTTGCCAATGAGGGAGACGACTATTTCTGATAGACTCAGGTTCAATCCACATTCGCTTTCCTACCATGAACCAACAGTTCTCCAATGCACCAATCTACGCTCCAATCTATCCACCCACTCAACAGCAGTCAACTCCGTCATCAAGACCTCAATCCCACGGCGCTCCTCAACAAAACCTACCAGCTGCTCACACCTTACCACCTTTGACTTCCGGGAACCATGCCGCATCCGCCTTTGGCAACGATACCTACCCTACCCGAACTCAACCCCTACAGCCCTCGTTGATGACCGCTCCCCATGGACAAGATAGTCAGCCAGGATCATACCCAGTCTACGCGCCGACAGCAAATACCTTCTACAATGGACAGAGCGCAAGTTTTTCGCAGGCCTCGCAGAATCAGCATTTGCACCAGCAGTCGAGACCATCTCCAGTCACAGGGTTACACCAACCGGTATATACCTCTGCCCCGACGCAAGGTCGTTTGCCAGACCTGCGGCGTATACAACCAAGGGAAAATGGAAAACCATCGTTATCTCTTGCAAACCACATAAACCAACTAGACGCAGTGGAAGAGCCTCAGCCTACGCACGTTGTGGGCTCACAGGGTCGAAGAGGGATACTTCCAAGTGCAGCAGGGCGCCCGGCGGCTGTTGCTGGCGCGAACACAAGCGGTCAAAAGGCAGCGCCCACACCACCAAAAGACGCCGAGGGAAAATATCCTTGTCCACACTGTAACAAGAATTACCTACATGCAAAGCATCTGAAACGTCATCTTCTCCGGCGTAAGTACCCTACGTCCGGTTCACCTGCGCTCACCCTAACGGGGATCTAGACACTGGCGTGCGACCATATACTTGTGGTCTTTGTAAAGATACTTTTTCCCGTAGTGATATCTTGAAAAGACACTTCCAGAAGTGTTCCGTTAGAAGAGGCAACCCAAGCGGAGAGAGTCATCTGTCTCATTCTCGAGCAAACAAGAAGTCCAGGCAGGAGGACGCAGCGCGGATGGAAAGCAGCACACCAACTGGCGTCAGTCAAGCACAACAGATGGAAGTCTTCACCCCCACGAGTCTGGATGGATCCTTCGATATCAATACCCTAAACCTAGGCCAGTCGCAGTATGTGGAAAGCCCTGACCAGGCTTCGCGGTCCAATAGTATTAAGAAATCGAAGCGAAGCACTGGCAGTCATTCAAACCGGGCAAGTCTAGGACTGGTGAATACCTCCGGATATGATCCAACGAGCTACGGATATGTGAGCGGTCACGTTACACCTGACTCGGCGACTACAAGTGGAGCGGCAACGCCCTACACCTATCTGCACGAGTCAAGATCCAACCAAATATCTCCGAGCGGGGCCTACAGTACAGCTAACGGCAGCGACATGGTGTTCGGTGGAGTGAGCAGGGCTCCCACGTCTTCGAACTATAACAATGGTTCTCTGCCCCATATAGCCGGGCAGAGAAGTGGACACGACATCGACTGGCCTTCTTTTTCCAATTACAACTCGAACGATGATTACGGCAACACGCAATACCACTCTGGCACCAATACTCCTCTTCACCCCATCAAATCCGAGGCCGACCTCCATAACATACAGCTCGGAGATTACCCGTACCTTCAATCAAAAGCATAGACATCAAATTCTGTTTCGGAGCTATAACGAGGCTCATTGGCCGTAGACCTTTGAGTACATTGCATTATTACATTCGGTTTTCTCCAACGGTGGATTTCGTGCTCGAGCTTCTTGCAACGACACTAATGATATATGAGAAAAACAATATAGAGGCAAGAGGAGCATATACAATTACACGGATACGGGGGCAATGAGGCGACGACTCTGGGAGGTGCATATCTGCGGCGGCGCTGTCAATGGAGGTCAAATGCAAGCCGTTGGCGGGTGGTGAATTAGAGAGGATATAGACGGTTACAGCAGACATGCGAGCAAGCTAATACAGTAATTTCGAGACATCCAATAAATACCGAAGACATGGATGCGATTGTCATCAAGCACAATGGACTATTTAGACTCAATGGCGAAGGTGGAGTGAATAGTAACAAATATTGGAACATTCATTGCCAGGAACAGGTCTAGCGCGGGACTGCCGACATTAGCCGCAATGTGAGGTTTTGTTCACCTTCAACGTTGTCCCAAATCTCCACTCCACCACTGAATTTGTTAGCCTCATAACGATAATGATTAGACCTCCGCCCCTGACCTTTCTTCGCTGCCACCCACATGTCCTTTCCCGACTTCCTCCGTCCCCATACCTCGCCCGCCTTCCCCACCTCCACCACCCATCATGCCCCATCGTCAGCACGCCATTGCCACACGCCGCTCACGTCCGCCATGCCTCCACCAGTCCGCCCATCGCAGCAGACGCTTCATCCCTCGTTACCCGCTTAAAAAATCTCTTCCTCGGCACCACCATCTCCCTCGCCCTCGTCTTCGGCTACCTCTACGTAACAGACGTCCGAGCAGGCATACACCAATGGGCCGTCGTACCCTCTCTGCGCTGGATCTACGACGATGCGGAGGAGGCACATGAAGTCGGTACGGCGAGTCTAAAGGGGTTGTATAAGTGGGGGTTGCATCCGAGGGAGCGGGGGGATGTGCCTCGGAATCTGGAGGTTGAGGTGTTTGGACACACGCTGTCGAATCCAATCGGCACGAGTGCGGGCATTGATAAACACGCCGAGATCCCCGACCCTCTTTTCGCCCTCGGCCCTTCGATAATCGAGATTGGAGGAGCGACACCCTACCCTCAAGACGGCAACCCCAAACCCCGCGTCTTCCGCCTGCCTTCCCAAAAAGGGCTCATAAATCGCTACGGTCTCAACTCGGAAGGTGCAGATAACGTAGCTATGCGCCTACGGCAGCGAGTCCGGGAGTACGCCTACGCTAATGGTTTTGGGATCGACGAAGAAGCGGAGCAAAGTGTCTTAGACGGCAAGGCCGGGGTTCCGGGTGGAAGTTTGACGAGCGGGCGTTTAATGGCGGTACAGGTTGCCAAGAACAAGTTTACGCCCGATGAGGATATCGAGGCTGTGAAAGCGGATTACGTCTACTGTGTCGAGGCATTGGCGCGGTATGCGGACATCATTGTTGTGAATGTCAGCAGTCCGAATACGCCGGGGTTGAGGGGCTTGCAGAGGGTGGAGCCTCTCACGAATATCCTGACCGGCGTCGTGGAAGCTGCGAAGAAGGCTAAGAAAAGGGTCAAGCCAGCGGTCATGGTAAAGGTGTCCCCGGATGAAGACAGTGACGAGCAGGTGCGCGGGATCTGTGATGCAGTGTGGGAGAGTGGAGTTGATGGGGTTATCGTGGGCAATACCACGAAGCGAAGACATGATCTCTTGCCGGCGGATTACAATCTGCCAGCTAGGGAAGCGGCGACATTGTTGGAGCAGGGAGGGTATTCGGGGCCGCAATTGTTTGAAGGGACGGTAGCGCTCACGAAGAGATATAGGAGGCTATTAGATGAGGGGATGGACCAGACGCCGAAGGAGCCTGCATCAACGAAAGCGATTGACGACGCACCACAACAAGATCCGAACAAAGACGTCTCCTCTCGCATCAAAGAGACGGTCGAGCGTGACGCCAAGAACCTCAAACCGGACACACCAGAAGCCCACGCCGAATCGAAATCCCAACCTCTAATCCAAATCCCACCTCGCAACAACCCCTTCTCCTCCGACCGACCGTCCACCAGTGCCTCCACTTCCGCATTCTCAGCCGACACGCACATCAATCAATTACCTCCCATCACCCAATCCGAACCCTCAAAGGAGCCTCCTAAACGAAAGGTCATCTTCGCAACCGGCGGCATCCAAAACGGCAAGCAAGCGCTCGAAGTGTTGGAAGCTGGCGCTAGTGTCGCGCAGGTATATACAGCGTTGGTGTATGGGGGTGTGGGCTGCATTGCTCGAATGAAGGATGAGATGAGGGAGGAGATGAAGAGGAGGAGAAAGGAGCCCGGGATTCCGTGAGGAGGGATGGCCCCTGTTTTTCATGAATCGTGCATAATGGTTGATAAATAGTCATTCCTGTACTAGTACATACCCTCGTCCTTATCCTTAACCCTCTCACGCCGAGAAAACAATTACGGAAAGAAAAAGAATAAGCATTGCTTCACCTTCAACAGCGCCGTCCATCCCCCCTTTACCGTTTCCCACAATAAGTAGTATAAAGAGTACTCTACTCTCCCCTACCTACTCCGTCTCGTCTCGTCTCGTCTCGTCTCGTCTGAACTTTCAGAAGAAAGAAAGCGCACAAGATACCTCACAACCGCTAAACCATCCTGCAAGCAAGACCCAATACCCCATGAACCCAGCATCTAATGAAGCCACACACACCAACGACACCATCACGTAATGTACGCATCTTATCCCCCCCCCCCCCCCCGCCCCCCCTCCCCCGCCCCTTCCTCTACCGAAAAAAAAGCCCCAGCGTATACCTCCTTTCCAACCCTCCCTCCTCAATTTGCCAGCCAGATGGCCAACAACACCGCGTGCGTATCTATCCCAATACACCCTACTCACATCCACACAGACAGATAGATAGATAGGAGGAATCGATACTCGTATCCATTCATCTATACATAGCCAAATACCAACATGAATAAAAACATTACATTCCGCGTGCTGTCGATGAACGAAAGCATCACAGAATAACACAAACAAAACAAAAAACCCAACCCAACCCAACCCAATGCTAGCAACCCCAAACCCAACCCACCCAAATGCCAGCAACGAGAAACAAACCAAACCAACCAAACCCCATCCCAAACCCAAACCACCAAACCAAACCCAAACCCAAACCAACACCAACACCAGCAACGAGAAACAACCAACCACCAAAACCCCACCCCCGCAGCCAACGAATAAACCCAAACAGTACATCACCCGAACACATATCCATAACCCATCCGAACACATATCGCATCCATATCCCATCCATACCCCATCCAAACCCACCGGTGCGCTTCCGCCAACCGCGCGATCCGAACGCGACCGCTTAGAGTACACTCGAACCGTGACGGCTGTCGGGAATCCGATCCAACCCGATCCAATCCCATCCAATCCCATCCGATCCCATCCAATCCCATCCAATCCCAGAGAAGGTGGCGCATGCGAGCGCCGAAGTCTGTGGGACCATCTAGTTTTGATTTTTTTTTTGATTCTGAAGATAGATACGTACACATGTACATGTACATACTCGGAGGGAAGTGAGAAGGGAAGGTTTTCTACGAGAATCGATATTCTGCGTATGATTTCACAGTATCGATCGGATGTATGTATGCATGTCGAGTACCGCACCAGCATCTCTGCATCTCTCCATCCATCCATCATCACTGCGACTGGCTACAAACGGCCGATTTTTCATCTCAACAGTGAGAGTGAAGAAGTGAGAGAGAGACACACAGCATGCATCCACCTCTCAACCTCTCCATCCTCTCCATCCTCACCATCCTCCTCCTCTCCCGACACATCCACGCCCTAACCCTCACCCATCCACTCACACTCACACCACCACTCGCCCACCAAAACACCTGTATCCCCAAACGCACCCCTTTCACCTCCTGCCCCGACTATTACGACTGCCTGCGCGCCATCTTCGCCCTGCCGGACCTGCAAGGCGAGGGCGCCTTCCACAACGGCGCGCCCGACGACGTGTTCAGGCTGCCGGTGGAGGAGACGCGTGGGAGTTGCAGGGTGAGGGTGGAGTTGAGGCACGAGGGAAGTGCGAGGCAGGGGGGGAGTTGGCACGTGATTGTTGCCCGGGCGCTGAGGTTGGGTGAGGAGTGAGTACTTCGAATGCGTTTTTTTGGGGGATTTACGGAGTTTTTCTGAATAAGCTGCCTTATTGGTTTGGTACTTTTGGGAGACGGGATGCTGACGTAGACGCTGAGTAGCTGCATCAAGACGTCGATGCGAGAACCGCAGTATGCCGGGGGTTGGACGGAGCTGGGGAAGCAGAAGAGGCTGGTAATTGTTTTGGAGTATGGTGGGGGTAGATATGGGGTTGGAGGAGACAATGTGACAGTGTTATGAAATGAGATTGGGAAAAGTTGACCATGATACTTCCATGTCAATGTTTTGCCAGACTCGAAGGACATGAAATTGGGAGACCAGCTTGAGTGTCTTATTAGACGAGGGAAACGAGACCAACAGGCAGAGAAAGGTGATAGATGCTATAAGTGACTGACCGGGAGAAGGTCCCGCACGACCAACATCCGGAGTTGGCTGCTAGCATTTCCGCATCGCTGGTTTGCAAAGTCCGCCTCTTCGGTCAACGCCAACGTCGAATTTGCGTTACCTATATCAAAACATTATCGGTACAGCACGACCTAGTAACAGCAGAAATGGCACTTAATCCACAATAAATACACTCTCACTTACTCGCAGTTTGTAATGGCAACATTAGTCTGACGGGTTTGCAAGAGGTGGATCGGCCATGCGCTCAGCTTCGGCTTGAATCCTTGGTCTCGACATGGAGGCTTTGATCATCGCGGCATATTCTCGTTGCTTCCGGCATTCCTCTTTCCACTTCAGCTGGTCATCCGCATAGATCTCTGCCCCCTTTGGATTGAGAAGTATTTTTCGTAAACCCTCGGCAAAATCCTCTCTGTCCACCTTCGTCCATAGATCGTCTTCCGATATGAATTGTGGGTTCTTCACAACGACCTCGACTTCAGTCAAGGGCAAGTTCGAGACCTTCTGGAGACCTTCACAACAAGTCGTAGTGTAAAGAAGGTTGTTGCTTTTGATGAAATCGTACCGCGTAGCGTCTAGCTTGTGGTCAATACGCAAACGCAGCCGTCTTAATCCAGTGACGGATTTGACAAGTGCCATGTTGAGAGCTTGGTTCCACTCTTTACCATCAGAAGTGTCCCACTCCATCTGTAAGCGAAGACTCTTGATTGAGCGCTTCTGGTTGATATTCCGGGTCACTATGAAGCGTTTGAACGTCGTGGGGTCGGCAAATGAGAAAGTATTCGTCGTCCACAGTATTTTGTTGGCTTCAACGTAAATCTGTCGACATGATCGAAGAACACTAAGCCGCATCTTCTCATGACCGCAACAGTACCATTCCTTATAGATCGTGTTTGGTTCAATAGGCTCATAGTCGAGGTCTACCTCGCAAGCGAAGTGTGGCCGAATCGAAAGGAATCCATAGGAAGTTGTCCAATTTCTATCTTCCTGATTCTCTGGGCAGTCTTCCTCGCAGACCAAGTTTCTCCAGACGCTTCCATATGTCGTTCCAAGCGTACTAGACCACCTTGAACTCGCATAGAATGAATCGCTGGTCGCGAAGTCCACTGTGTGATCGTAGAGGTATCGGAGATGGATAAGACGGTCGCCAAGCACGTCACTCCATATCTTGTTGCGGATCTCGAGGGGCAATCGCAGCAGCGGGGAGGTCAGTGCATTTCCTTTGATACTACAATAGCTTGTTAGTGGGCTCAGTGCTTGTGATGTGGCTGGATTTCATACATCGCCTTGGTAGCTGCGTCCTTGGGAGCAGAGAAGGCAACCCGCTTCCTACTTTGGAAGGCCTTCTCTTCCGGGCTCTTTCGCTTGGTCATGATTCAGCCTGATAGACGATCGGTCTTGGCCGAATGATATGGAACAGACGCTCCAAGCAATCGGCGTTGCGAAACCCGTTGTGGGTAGTTGGAAGAGTAGGTCGTAGGTAGGCAATAAGAACGCGTAAGAAGAGCGCGAGTACCATGTCAGAGCGCCAAGACCAAGACTTGGCAGCTTCGCTTTCACCTTCCATCTTAAAGCCCCTGCACGGGGTTACAGCTCGGCAGGTGCTGCGGTACTCGGCAGCGGAAGAACGTATAACCGATAGGGCTAGGCTATGAAGAACATTGACGCCCATAAGAAAGCATGAAGTTGGCCATGCTCCAATTTATAAACACAAAGTTTCTCAAAGAACATTCCTAGATAGAACCAAGAAGGGCAATCAACTCATTCCCGACAGGAGGCCACTGCCAACCTTGACAAATCCCCTGAGTAGTCTTCGATAGTCTTTTCATTTCTTTTCCCACTGCGTTCTATTCCCGTAAATAAACACAAAAAGTCACACGTTTCTCCTAACTACTCTTGAAATACAATTTGCCGTCCAACTAAGTTTCGAAAATAGCGACGTCGTAATGAACCTCCGTAAAGCCCGAATTGCTGCCGTGGATCTCCCTCACGGCTTGCCCCAACCTGAAACACCGTAGTCAGACCTTCGAGAGCATACATGCATGCAGAAACCCGCGCCTCATTCCTAAAGATCCATCACATCGTCTCGAAAGCGTGCTGGCAGAGGAGCCTGCTGACGTCTTTGTCTCGTCGCTGTCGAGGCAGGCACACCTCTCCCTGCTCGGCCCCTCCCCCGAACTCGCTGTCGCTCTTCTCCCCGTGATATAGCTCTCCCACGCCCGCGCCGAGTAGATACTCCTCCTTCTATAGGCACAATTCCCCCCTCTCCGTCTGCCTCGGAGTAAGTCTCTGCTCGCTGCTCTTCCTCTTGCTCCTCTACCTCGCGAGCGGTGACCGCTGGCTGACATGGCTGACGTGCTCTCGGGGTAGCTCGTTGATTAGCTCGCTGACGGCGTTGCCGAGGGGGATGTGAATCCGCTTCGGCGTGTTCAATACCAGAGGGATCTTGTCGAGTAGAGTCTTCCTCAGCTTGCTGACGGCGATTTCCCTTCTTGTTCGTTGAGCCAGCAGATTGGCTGTTGGACTTGGAAACAGCAGGATCCGATATGCGAAGAATCTCTTGGTCTGTATTATCACCGCTAGCCTTAGGCTCATTGGATTGAGAAAGAGATGTCTCCTGTCCACGAAAAGCGCCCCACTCCTCGAACAAGGACTGAAGTCGGAGTTTTTGTTTGTCACTCTGGTTTGACATTACCGCATCCTTGACCTTTGTAGTAATCTGGGGATGGGGTTCCCGAGAAGCAGACCGCTTGCCTGGAGTTGTGTCACGAATATCTGCAGCCATATTCAAATTGGTTATCTTTCCCCTCTCGTGCAGGAGAGCGAAAATAGTGCTTCCGTCCCCCTCATTCATTGCTGCTGATATCAACCACTCTTCTCGCATCCGAATATTTGGATCATGCGCAAGCATGAGCGAAATGAACGCCGCGCCCCTACTGGCTTTGACAGCCGATTGCATCATGGAATCTGTGATTCGTGCGCCAGGATTCTGTTGGAGAATGATGTGGAGAGCATCAGGTCCTCGGTCATAATTGCTGGCTGCGGCTTCCACAATCTCCTCAGTCAGCAGGATAGGCTTGCCCTGCTGGAGGAGAAGATCCAATATGTCTACTGCATGCCAATCGGCGACTGCTACCTTGATCACTTCTCCTGACACATCGAAGGCGGGATCATTCTCTAAAAGAAGTGCGACTTTCTCATCCGGCATTAGAGAAGACCGAACCGCTGCCATGAGAAGACCTTCAGTAAGGGCAAAACTCTCACATCTCTCAAGCACGGACTTGACAACATGCGGCAATCGACGAGGTATCGCGGCAGCTAGGGCTTCCAATGGGAAAATCAAACGTCCGAAACGGTCCTCGAGGACTTTGAGGGAAGATCCATAGTGGAAACTACCGGCGACAGTGATCATTACGTCGTCCTCAACGTGATCAATATTTCGCCAGCTCAACAGAAGTCGCATCACCTCCCCATCTTCATCGTTATGCTTTGTTGCTGCTAGCAGCATTCCATCGGAGCTCCCAGCATCATCTATACGTTGAATAATGAAGGCCACGGAGTCAGCTGAGCCATTTTCCAGGGCACACAAGAGATGACGACGAGTGAATGGTGGCAAGTCGATTCTTGCCACTTCAAGTTGGCGAAATATCCGAGACGAATTCCTGATCAGGCATATAGAGTCAATCAAACTCTCATCTACCTCGATCTCGGGACGCTCAAAAAGTAAAGAAATGGCTTCATCGTCACGGTCCAATGTCTTTCTCAGGGCAGAGAGAAGTGCAGGCGTGATATTGACCCTCCCCCCACGACCAAGCAATATCTTTATCATCCTTCCTCTCGAGAAGGGGTTTTCACCGCAAGCGTGCCATAACCATTCCTTGTTCAGTACTGATCGGTCGCACCTGTCTAGAACGAAGGATAAAACTTCCGGGTCGCCCCGTTCAGCTATCCCACTGACTGCATCCATCGCTGTTTCAGGGATCCTGGTCTCTGGTAAAACTAACTCCAGACACCCGTAGAAAAGTGATGTGCTTTGATATGCCCTTTCTAAAATACGGAGTCTTACTACGATGCTCATGAGTGATAGGTTGTCTTTGAGGAGCTGTCTAAGCATAAACACGTCTCCGCGTTGTACTGCCCATTGAAATGCGGTCATGTCTTGCCCCGTGGCGTATAACTTTGGATCTGCTCCACTTTCCAGGAGAAATTGCACTGCAGCTTGGTGTCCCTCAGCAACAGCTGCAAGTAGTGCGTAGCCATATAGACCTCCAGGTACATTCTTATCACCTTCCTTCATTGCCAATTCTTGTGTTAAGAGGCCATATTGAGATAAAACATGTATTGGTTGTGCATCGAGCCCTTGTCTTCTTGGCACCCAGCGGTAGTTCATCCCCCCAACAATGGAACGATCGTCCCTCTTCATGGAAACCAAATCGAAAAGGTATCTCCAGCGCTCGAAACATCCTTGAATATTACCAGATATACATGCTCGTAGATGATCCTGCCCTAGGCCATTTTTCTCTGCGTGTGCTGAATGTATAAACAGGAAATCGACCATGTATTCAACGAACGGATAATCTTCGAAGAGAGTTGGCATCGAACGTTGGACGGCAAATTCCGTGTTCAATCTGGAATCAATTATTGGCATCACCACAAGCTCCCTGCTGTTGAGATAGTTCAAACAGATCGCTTTCATAAACTCGTGTCCCTGGGCGGTGTGATTGTGTCGTCTATCCTGAATCAAGATGTCAAAGCCACGGGCCTGGAGATAATCCTTTACGGACTCATGAATGAATTGAACGACACTCTTTGGTCTCAACAACCTTTGTAGAGGATGCCAGTTCCAAGGCCGGTATAACGGATCGTCTGGCGGTAAAGTCTTGACCTCAATTAGCCCCCTCGATCGTTCGCGGAGTCTTTTCTCCATCTGTTCATCACCATCGACGTATTCGCTCGACTGGGACCAATCCGCATACGATGTGAAGGTGCCGCAACCAAACGCTAAGGCGTATCGAAGCTCCGTCAGAGAAAGAGGTCTCTGCGAAAAGAAGACGCATTGCAGGAGTGACAGCAATTCCGCCTGGTCATCAGGCTCTATGTTTTGCAGTTGGTGTCGATAGAAGTCACCTAGATCCGAGGGTATTCTTCGAATCACCTTCTGAAGGTCGGCCAGTGTCGCACCAGCGGCGGCTTTATGTAAGAGGTCTTCAACCACCAACACAACCCATAAGAAGATTCCAGAAGCTCTATCCATGATTTGCCTAGCAGATGCCGTCAGATAGTCCGATCTGCCGCCTCGATCCTTGGCGAACACCATGTTTTGACCTATATATTCTGCAATGTCGTTCTGGTTCTGGGTTTCTACTCTAGCGTGAAAACAAATTCGGATCCTCAACTGAGGCCAGTAGCGACTGGACAAACAGATATTGAACTTAGTGCCTTCCTTTACCGCAGAATTCGCAAGATGTTCGAAGTATTGAATGACTGCCCTTGCACCGGCTAGGTCGCATTCGTCGAGCGCGTCAACGAAGAGAATAAGATTGCGGTTTCCAAGGATTGGCGCCGTCACGACGGACTTCAGGAGAGCCTTTAACTCCCCAAGGTGCCATTCCCAGCCAGAACGTAACACTCTGGTTTTCTCGGAGTAGTTTCTGACCACTAGAGTACGAAACGCAGACATTTGTGGACATAAGGTATGCAGCAGGGTACGAAAGAGCCCAACCGAGGACTTTTCGTCCTCACTACCACGAGCATTGAAGAAGAACCCCGCGATTATTGATGAGGGATCAGTCATTTCTCTCTTCATATGGGAATAAGTCTTCTTCATCAATGTCGATTTGCCTGATCCTGGGTTTCCTTTGAGCCAAAAGAAACCGTGATGCTCGTCTAGTCTTTCACGTTGGGCCCAGCTCTGGAAGTCGGCGCTCTCTAGTAGCCAATTACCAGTGTCTTCCGCCGCTGGCTCAATGTTGCTCTCGCGAGCGTGCATATGTGTAAACGATAGTGACCTAAGACAAGCTTCCTCTTCCGGATTCAATGCATTGGGCGATTCTGCCAGGCATAAATGTCAGTCATCGGTTTCTTTAAAGGCTGGACAACAGGTTGAATATGCAGCTAGTAAGAAGAGTAGGGTGCAACTAGTTCAAAGACAAAGATATGGGGTATAGTGCCATTGATATAACGCACAGACTGTGGGGCTCATACCTTGATCGTGGAATCTCGATGTCAGGAGTGTGGTGGCCTTTGACCTGATCTCGCGCAATTTGAATAGGACACGCTGGTAGTCGATATCTCCAACAGAGAATTTGACAAGATTACTGTGAGTGCGGTCAAATGGCTCATGGAACGAGTCAGAGTCCCACGGACGTGGGTATGTTGCCGAAAAGCGATCCACGAGAAGTTTCCGTGGGCCTGCCATCTTCCAAAATCCGTCGACCTTTTGAAATTAGTCGGAAAAATGATATACATTTTCCAAAGACTTACTTCCAAGGCCGTCGGCGAGCTCTGGGTCTCAAAGAAGGAGAAGATGGGACTGTCTCTGAAGGGAAAGGCAAGTGGAAAATTGACGTTCTGTTCGAGCAAAAAATCCGAGCTCTTGCCGATAGACTCCAGGAGATACCGATTGGGTCTATCGCCGACAACGGCGCGTAGCGAGTCTATATCCATACCTCGATTGGGTACGCCGAAGAACAGCATTCCGACAATCGACCGGATTTGTTCTTTTTCTGAATCTGTTCCGCGACTCAACTTGATGATGGCCTGGGAATGCGACGGTCAGTAAGGCGGGTTTGCGGGCCAAGCAAAATACTTGCAAGGTATTACCTGTTTTGTAATTAGGCCACCTAGGCTCTGGGCAATTATAATAAGTGGTTTCGAGATTGTCTTTCAAAATCAGTAAAGCGGTAATTTTGGTGGTGTCTTACTTACATTTGACTGACGACACAAAATGCTGAAATGACCGGCCAGGTTATCTGCTATTATTGACACGTTCTGATTGGAACAGCTATCTCGAAGTTCCGATTTGTAGCCGTAAAGGAGGACTCGCATGTTAGGAAGATCGCTTGGTAGGGAGTCGCGCAACCACATGTATGAGCCGCCTTTCTCTTTGAAAGTACCGAAGGCATTGGTTCCTAAACCACAGACGACGATGCAGTCTGTGGAGTCTGCCGTTGTCCCTACTGTGTTAAGTGGAGTCAAGCCGCAAAAGTGGGTATCGAAGATCAGGGCCTCAGTGCTCCCAGATTGCGAGTCGTTATCTGTGCCTGAAAGCTTTATGGGCCATTGATTTTCGTCGTTAAGGCGGAGGAGTGACTCCGGCGTCTCGGAAAAAGTCAGGGTGGCTACCTGTCTATTTGACTGGTAGCAGTCTTCCGCCAAAGAGGTGATCTGCAATCCCGATTTCTCTGACGACGTGTCAAGTGAGCGCTCCAAGAGACCAGCAACATCTTCGATGCTGCAGGCAGGTGGAAGACCGGAGACTCTATACACTGAGAATGAAAGCGCTTCTGGTCTGTTCTAGAAGAGAAGTCAGCAGACGAACGCAACACAAACATGTTTTATCGACTCACTACTCCTCGCGGTTCACGAAAAAGCCCGCCATTCAAGATGTTGTTCATCCTGTTCCAATTCCGACCAATTACACTACACCACCTTCAGCCACAAAAACAAAGAGATTGTTCAGCTCGATAGTCTGCCTGACGGAACTCCCGTAACAAAAATAGTAGTCGACATTTCATCCTACCGCGCAGGACTGAATCTGTTGCCGGAATCCGACAGACACGCTGTATGCCTGTACAGTCTCGTCGTGGATACATATTGAGTCGAAGGAAGGATCAGCAGGCAGCCTCGAAAGGCCCCACGGCCGGCATGCGACAATGATATCATCCCGCGTGTTTTGCGTATGGGAGCTTTGCCAACTTTTGTACCGTTGGAACCAAGTTGCCAATTCATCCAACTCGCCACAAATTTGGACTTACTCATATACGACGCAGACGGTTGCAGAACCTTCTAGGCGCAATTACCATGGCGCTTTACGAAGGCACGTAGCGAATGCAAGTTTAATCGACCCTCACTTGCGTCCAGGCCTGCAATGAGTACGGTGATGGCTGCAGTGTAGGACGCTATGTTTACAACAAGCTAGTGTGTGGGCCGGCTAAACAAATCGACTGTGTGTGTGGGGGAAGGTGAAGGTCCTGATGGAACGTATGAATAAGGACCCATTCATGCTTTCTCCAATTAATGCACGTGACAGGAGGTTTCCCCTCAAAGTGGAAAACCACGGTCATATGTTACTGTTAAGAGGCTGTAACAGTGCTGGTGTGCACAGTCTGTCGATAACGACAATGGTGCACCCGAGTAGGGGGATAGCCCCAGTGAGGGCCACTCCGTTAGCACGGGGCTACGCCCAACCGGAGCCATCCTTTGGCCCTGATTATGAAGACTTGTTTATAATTTGAAGGGCTGGTGGTAGGCCAATGATACATCTCGAGATCGCTTCCTTAGTCTCCTGACATCGGTCGCCAGAGATGATGCGTCTGGTGACCCTTTTAGCCCCAAACCACTTTTCTCGAAACATGAGGCGTATCGACTTTTGAGACTACACAGCGATGATTTTCTTCAAAGAAAAAATAATCTGTAGATCCATTGATTTGTTCTATACATACTCTCATCGGCCGCAGACCCTTCTGGGCCTCATCTTCTTGGTGCGCTTTCTCTCACGGGAGTGTTCTCGTGGGAGAGGTCTTCTCCCTGGGGAAACGTTTCTGTTGAAATGATGTCCAGAGAGATCAGTGCTCAGTCGCGAGAGGGGCTCCTATAAACCCTCTGGTTCTTGGAGAGGTGGGCTCCGGGAAACAAAGGCCTAGGAGGTTTCCCGCTCCTGGGCATAATGTCTTGAGGCCCACCTCTGAAAGGATCCTAGCTCTTGAGGGAAGTATATGGTTGGAAAGTAAGACTTCTCGACTGTACCAGACCACATGGAACACCCTCTGGTCTCTGAATGTGAAGCGTTCATATATACGTAGGCTTGTGGGAGGCCTTCACTTCCGGCCTCTTTCGCTTCGGCATGATGCAGCCGGATGGATCATCGACCTTGGCCTGGGGATATGGGAATATGCTCAAGGCAAATGGCGTTGAGAAACCCGTTTAGTTTAGTCGGAAGACTAGATCGTAATTAGGCAATGAGTAAATGGGGCCAGCTATTTGTCGAGCATCTTGCAAGGCCGAGAAAAACTCTTCAAGAGTGTGAGTAGGCCTAAGCGTGAGAGATGAAGTGCATTTGCAGGTAGTCAAACATTCAGATAAGAACAGCAACTCATGCTTGAAAAGGTGATCTACACAAGATGCATGCCGCCGTGGTCGCAAGAGCTGACCGGGGATCTGGGTATAGTACAAACGCCAACCCATGCTTTCGTATTTCGTAGACTCATGAGCTCTGACATGGTACCGCCTCAGAGTCATGACCTCACAGACAGGCGAAGGTGTCATGCGTAGCGCTAAACGGAAGATCGTAAGGATCTGGGCTCCGTAAATGTCGGGATCCTCCTTTTTCAAGGCTCAAGTCCTCTCGCGAATTATAATCGACAACTTGCAAGGCCCCGATATCAATATTCTCAGTTGTAACACTAGGTGTCCTCTGATCATCACTCATGCCCCTTGTTTGTAATGCCCATCCCATATGTCCACTGGAACTTGCCGCATCTGGGGCGGTGTTGCATAGCGGCTTCGTGGAATCAACGTCGTCCATTTCGAAATCTGTACCCTCTGGAACGACGGCCGCCTCCCTCGCTTTTCCTACTCTTCCATGTTGCGCCTTGAACGTTGCTGTGTGTAGTACTTTATGAAGCAGAGGCTTGTTGACACGCTGACGTTGGCCATGTACTCTGGTATGAGAATGCGATACTGCAATGATGTTGTTAGAAGCGCAACACATCAAGGGTCAAGCGTACCGACCTTTCTGCTTCGACTTTGCAGCTTCAATTCTGTTGCCGTAATCCCAGATCCACAAGATCATTGCTGGCCAATTTCGACGACATCCGATAATTTGAAACGACTGAACGCGTTTTCCGAAAGCAAAGATGTCAATGACACCGCCGCGACTCGGTCTGAGGCGAAGGCTACCGAGAAACGAGTCCTAGATGGATGATCAGCAGTCGAGCTTACTGCGCGGTGGAATTGGGGATGTACGTGGAAGTCGATCCACCAATTATTGGGTCCCCCCTTGTCGTACAAAGGATGGCATGTGCTCATAGGCTTCTTGCGATAGAATCGTGGATCGATTCTTGGCCATAATCCCAGCAATCTCAGCACGCCGTCTGACCAGTTCCGGTCCTCTGTGATTAACTCCTTGATGATGCTTATGTGACCACGAGGATCGCATTCGAGCTCCTCGTCATCGTCTTCGTCGCGTAAGAGGGCCCTCAATTTGCGCGTGTCAAGCGGTGGAAGCATGGTGGGTTGTTAATTGAGCAGATCAAGCAGATCAAGTATGATTGAGTGGGAGATGTTGTTGTCGCGGAATTATTCCGCGCTAGCGTGATGACCCGGCAACCAGGAACACTAAATGCCTGTGAGGGCAACCCTTTTGAGTGTCACGTTCACACACATATTTCAACAACACCGGGTCAAAAACTCACAGAAGGTCCTCTAGCTCTGCTTCTCGAAAGGTTTGAGCGAGAATATATTAATCGAAGTCGGCCTTGAAGCTATTCCACATCGTGTTTTCAGGCCGTAAAGTCGAAGCGTCGGAGGCGAATCTTGTTTATTCTCCATACATCTCATTGATAAGGTATTCTTCTACAGTCTTATTCGAAGTGCTCACTACGGTGATATCCTGCAGTGGAGTATTATCTTATCTTCTGCCCAGATCGCTGGCAAGTCTTCCGAAATTTAAAAAGATCTCTTAGCTCACTTCCTATTTGATGTGCCAAGCTATCTTAGCCCTTTTGAGCGTTGTCAACAGGGTGAACACTTACGCTCGTAAAACACCTCCTTGTTCCTTGTGCATGAACAGAGTTCATCCTTTTTTTACCGAATATATACATAAATCAACACGCGCTATCGGTCACAACGTTATTTCATCTTTCTTCAATCATCACCATGTCGCATCTAGGCCAGAGACAGTTCGAAGTCCTTGCAGGTGCTAAGTCCCCCTTCCTTCCGCGTGAGGATCCTAGTAAGAAGAATCTCCCGAAAGGTATTAAGAATGGTGCTAAGAAGGGCTCTGAGAAGAAAAAGAAGGTGTGTACATTTCGAGGCGATTGCTTTCTGATCGGTGTTGCGATTTCATTTGTGTGACATGCTTCGTAAACAAGAGGAATTTCTAGCACATAAATCGCTCCTGGACTTAAACCTTTAACTTGCATCCCTCTTCAAGATGAGGCATGCTAACTTTGAATACTCCAACAAGGGTCCGTCTGGCTCGACCTGGAACGAGTTGCATCTCAAATGGTTACATGTTCTCTGCGAATCTGGTTACGACCTGAAGGACATTTTTTCCCGAGAAAGCGAGCTTTCGCAATCTGGCAAGATCGCTACAAGCCTTCGAGAAAGTCTCGACGGAGAGTGGGGTTGGATTTGCGCAAATGATCACGAGTTATCAAACTCGATCTTTGCCCGTCTTCAAGCCTTAGTACTCCGAAGGGAAGAAGCCGACGCCTTCAACACGCATTCCAACACGCAGTCAAGTACTCAGCACTTTACGCCACCCTCCGCGAAAAGCCAGTCAGTAACTCCTCAGCAACACCCCCGGGGCACACAGGACTTTCTACGAGAACGTGGTTCACCAAGCCTCTTCCCGCCACACAAATGGGGTTTAGATCCCCAGCTACACATGCCTCAGTCCCAGAGTCGGAAGCGACAACGAGATGAAATAATGAGCCCTCGGCGAGAACGCGATGGGCCCATGATTCCCCCGAGACAACTCGAAAGCGCACCAACTTCTCACAATATGGGAGGGTCACCAGCTCCCCGACAACAGACAACAAGTCATCAGCAACAAATTTCACCAACAACAAGTCGCCACTTGCCCCCTCTCAGTAGCCCGTTGACTCATCGGCCACAAGATCCAAAAACACCTAGTCATGAGATACAGAGTCAAACGACACCAGGTCGCCACATGCCCCCTCTCAGTAGCCCGATAATTTATCGGCCACAAGATCCAAAAACACCTAGTCATGAGATACAGAGTCAAACGACACCAGGTCGCCACATGCCCCCTCTCAGTAGCCCGTTAACTCATCGGCAACAAGATCCAAAAACACCCAGTCGTGAGATACAGAGTCAAACGACGCCTAGTCTTTACAAGACCCCTCTGAAGCAGTCGTCAATTACTTGGCAACAAGATCCAAATACACCCTGCCGTAAGGTAGAGATTCAAACGACACGTGGTGGTCAAAAGGACCCTCCAAAAAACTGGTCTGAAACTCAAGGTCTCGGCGCATCTTCCACTATAGCGTCGCAACATCGAGGATCGCAGTCTGCGACCTATGATGAAGAAGGGGATGGCGATGAAGAGAAGGATGATGAACAGGATAGGGAAGAAGAGGGAAATGATGAAGAGGGAAATGATGAAGAGGAAAATGATGAAGAGGAAAATGATGAAGAGGATGAAGAGGATGAAGAGGATGAAGAAGATGACTTGGAGGAAGGAGAAGATGCTGGCGGAGCCTCGGAAGCGGCTTCATATGACAAGTCAGAGAAAGATGTTGAGGCTGCCGGACTGACCTTTCTGTCTCTTGTACACGACGCTATCAACAAAACCAAGAAAGGCGTGGAAGCCAAAAGAGTAGCGGAGCAGAACTTGAAGGTGACGGTGATGTCAGTTGCCTGGACGACCTTCTCAGACATCAACATTGCTGAATGAAGATACGTAGGGATCCGCGTCCGCATCGCATAAAGATTGATGGAATAGATATGTCGACACACCCTGACTTAGTTTTAGAACTTGTGTTTGGCAAAAAGAAGCAAAGAAAAAAAATCGGAGTGGTCTTAGAGGTGTGTACTATTCTAGAATTCCCAAGACTCTTCATAAACACGGTTGCTAACACTATGCTCAGTTCAAAAAGAGGGATCACAAATTGAACGACGAAGAGATATTGGCACAAGAGGTCTCGGAGTTGCTCGGCACGGTCCTGGAAAAAAAGGCAGCAAGGAAACAGAAATCATACAAGGTGGGTTCCCTACCCTGTTCTGGTGAAGTTGACTCAACAATTGCTGTAGTCATATCTTATCTCCTGGCACGGCCTGAAGGGCTATATCAGCCGTTTCTACGCAACCAGAGAGTACCTGAACCAGCTTCAAGAAAACTCACGAGGTCTTCAAGACCTAGATCCCCCTCAAGTAAGACGTTCAGAAGAATTCGATCTCACCAAGTCCGAAGAACGAATCAACTTTGCAATTGGATGTGCACGCATAGCGGTAGAGGAGCTGCTGAAGTTTGAACGCAATCAGACGTCTGGTTTATTGGAGCGCGTCCGCGCGTAGCGAAGGGCAGTTTACCACTTTTAAACTCTTTGCGTCTTTCTTCTCTACCATCGCCAACAGCAGAGCTACGTCCACCGCAGCAAGCGCGAGTACCATGGCAAACACATCATGCGATCAAAGACGGCGCCTCCTAGCAATGGGCTCAGCAGTGACGCGGCCATCATCACCCATCCGATCCATCTGATCGCCTGCCCGATTTTCTGTTGTCCAAATGTGTCCATCAGAATTGGTTGGCTGACAGTTGGGGTTTGACTGTCGTGGGGTTTGCAGCCGGGCTGCCCTAAACTCAATTCTGGGGTTTAGGAGTGAAAATAGGTCTAGGAGTCAAAAGCACTGTCGGTTGAGCTATATTCGCGCCTTCCATTAAGAAAGACGCCTTGGCAAAAGGGGGGCGCCGCCATCATTGGCCGGATATCACCCAAAGAAATCAAAATAACACATGGGGCTCCCTTGATTACATGTTATCCCATTACCACCTTTTCTCCAGCCTCGGAGTGCCCGTAATCGACCGGATCAATGTGCATATAAATCCGTCAGTTGAACATGAGATCCATTATACAAAAACAGCGCCTCCAAACTAGACGAGGCAGTGAATTCGTACGAGGTCACGTCATACACGTTCGGTGCGTCGCCCCTGACCCTGGCCCCGAATCTGTATTTGTTGCCGTCCATGGGACTGGACTTATTCTTGTGGTCCGTCCAAAATGACTCATCTGCTCGAACATATAAGCTTCGTGTATGAAAAAAATCCAGATCGAGACTTACAAGAGCCAAGAGTAGCCTTCCCTCCCACGCTACCGTTTCTCCACTCTCATCTAATACCGAGCGGATAATGTTGGCCTTCGCCTCACATTGGAGTCTGAAATAAGGGAACGATTTGACTGAGAGCGGGTCGATTGGGTCACGAGCGATGAGGTATTTCATGTTTTCGCCTTGAAAATGTCTTTCGACCTCAACGTTGGAAGAGAAAGCCGTAAGGATGGGGGATGCAAGCAGGAGGGCATGAATCGTGTAATGCATTCTTGGAGTCAGCGATGGAGTTGGCGAGATTACTTCATGACGGGAGTGCATGCGGTGCGATGAATTCGAGACAAGAGTGTGATTTGTAAAATGAATCTAGGAGGAGAGCGTGTTTGAATATCCAGGTTGGATGATCTACTCTACTCCTCAGCTCTCTCTGGGACGGTATTAGCTACAGTAGAACAGCAGGCGGCTGGTAAAAACATGTGGCCGGAATGGCCAAATATCCCAAAAAGAGAACAGCACCGCATCAGCATTACACCACAACGTGTTTCTAAAACCACACAGTCTCTCTGACGTCAAACCATCTCGTTAAAGCACCCGTCTTGGGTAACGACCTTCCTGATCGATCGTGGCGTGACAACCCTTCCTGGGCCTCGCACCGAGACATTTCGGATTTCATAGTCTGTCTCTCGATTCACGCACCCCCCTTTAATGTTTTCATTGTCCTCGCTGATCTCAATGGACCCCGGAGACGAAAGAGCGTCAGCTGATCAGCTCAGTCAGTGGTCTTGACCCTAACGCGGTCGTAGTAACCTATTTCTCTGTATCTGTATCAGTCTTCGTGATGATTTAGCCTGTATGCTTTGCAAGCTGGACTCAAACCTATTCTATTATTCAGGTTGAATGGGATCTTTACGCTTGGCCCCAAGAAGAGGGTATAATTGTCAGTGTGCCCGCCAACAAGCTCCTTACAAAAACCCCCACCCACCCTAAATGCCCCTTGCTGTGCGTCCCGGCCTGCGATAACTGCGATGGTTGTGGCATTGCAGGACACTGTGTTGACAAATAGGTGGTATGTGACCCGAGCACACAACGCGACTGTGGGCATTGGGGAAGAGGAAGGTCTTGATGGATGCTTGATATTTGAATTCAAGTGCTACTTCATCGGTCTCTGTGCGGACATATAAGAACAAATCACCTGCGCAGGATGCCATGGGCGGAGAGAAGGAAGCCATATTGTTCATAGGAGGGCATCTCAGGAAAGGAGTTATATGGGAACCAGGTATCGTTTTTCCTTCAGAGTTCCAGATCTGCTCCAATGATTGAACTATTTCTGACAGACCTCCAACGAGCATTTTCCGATCTATAATAAGGTGGTTCCCAAACTGAGTAGGCAAATCCGAGGCTTGTCAAGTAGAGCAACGGACTAGTGACTCACAGACGCCACAACTGACCTTTTCACCGCACGGTGTACCAATAATTCTGAGAAGATGGAACTGGAGAGCGAGCACTGCGTAGGTAGTTTGCATCACACGGACGCCATTTACCCTCCTAGACAAACAGCCCTTATACACCTAGTCAAAACCTTTCAACAGCCTCGCCAAGCTTTATGCAACCTCGCCGGCCACACTACACTCCCCTTCCTAGGATCGAGGGCTAACATCAAAAGGGTTATTTTCTTTCCCAATGAATAATTCCAGGCACTATGAAGACAGAGCCCAGCCTATGTTTCTGTTTGTAGCGTGTCCCCCAGATCCATCTCCTTTGAGCATTCGCTCCGACCTCCCAAGCCCTCACGATCCCTTTCCCCAGCTTCCGCATGGTTTCGGCTCCAACGTCGCCAAATTACTAATTCATACCCCAAAAGTATGGATCCTTACCGAATCATACCCCTAATTACTGAATCATACCCCTACACCAAATTTCACCCAAATATGGGGTATGATTCGGTAATTGGGCTAATTACTAATTCATACCCCGAAACTATGAATCCTTACCGAATCATACCCCTAATTACTGAATCATACCCCTAGGGGTATGATTCAGTAATTTGCCATTACTTGGGGTATGATTCGGTAATTTGCCATTCATGATAAAAATCGCAAAGGAGAAAATTCGCGACCTGGGCCATCCGACCATAGAAAAGAGGAACGTATTCAATGGGTGACCTACCAGCTTAAATACATCAGACGAAAGCCGAGTGGGTGTTAGCAGCAGCCCCCACGGGGGCCCTATTTAGGTTCAAATAGGGGTGTCTGGCTGTCAAGCGCAGACACCCCCGGGACCAGGCTTTTTTTGCGCTTGACAGCCAGACACCCCTATTTGGACCTAAATAGGGCCCCCGTGGGGGCTGCTGCTAACAGTGGGCTAAATTTGGCCCCCCAGCCTATTTACACCCAGTCTGTGACTCTCACACACTCCTAATAGTCTACACAGAGAAAATAAAAAGCACCGCAACACCATTATACCAGCGCCATTAGGAATCGAACCCAATACGAACTAAATACCTCTAACAACACACAGCAAGTTTGGTAAATTACCGAATCATACCCCAAATTTTGGTGTAGGGGTATGATTCAGTAATTAGGGGTATGATTCGGTAAGGATTTATAGTTTCGGGGTATGATTCGGTAATTAGCCCTTCGGTAATTTGCTATTGCTTGGGGTATGATTTGATAAGGATCTTAAATAAAAGCTTTTTTATATAAGGGGGTTTAAAAAAATTAAAGAGAGGGGGGGGGGGAGGGGGTGAAAAATAATAGTAAAAAATTTTTTTTTAAAAAGGGGTTTTTTTTAGGGAAGGGGGGGGGGGGGGGGGGGGGGGGGGGGGGACCAAAAAAAAAAAAAAAAAAAAAAAAATGTGGGGGGGGGGGGGGGGGGGGGGGGGAAAAGGAAAAAAAAGGAAGAGGGGGGAGGGAAGGAAGGAAAAGACACCCCCCAAAAAAAAAAAAACCCCCCCCCGGGGTGGGGTATAAAAAAAAAAAAAAAAAAAAAAAAAAAAAAAAAAAAAAAAAAAAAAAATTTAAAAAAAAAAAAAAAAAAAAAAAAATGATTATCTCCTTCGTAGTTTGAGGCCACTTTGACAACTTACCAAATAAATCATACCCCAAGCAATGGCAAATTACCGAATCATACCCCATATTTGGGTGTGATTTGGTGTAGGGGTATGATTCGGTAATTAGGGGTATGATTCGGTAAGGATTCGTACTTTCGGGGTATGATTCGGTAATTTGCCCCAACGAAGACTCTGGTGAATGCAACATCTTCGCGTCTCGCCAACCAGCGACCGCGCTGCAATTGTCAGGACCAGCATAGGTGCGATACCAGTATGGGTGAGGTAGAACGAGGATAATAAGGCTACCGAACTATGTAGGTGGGAAGGAGGCATAATATGATAGGGGATGCCTCCGCCAAGGCCCGCTAGCCATAGGGCTGAGTGGTGTGTCAAGGGTACGCTCGTAACACTACCCCCCCCTCTCAAATAGCCATGGCCCCCATGGCTGGTAGACCGGAGATGCAGGCCCATTGCTTGCCTTGTATCTCCAAACATCCATAGTCGGTGTAGGCCTTGGCTGGAGATGATTAAGATCCCGGAGATATAGCCACATCTTACCTACGTATCGGCAAGATTCTCCAAGTTCTTCTCCCGTCCAGCCTGCCTGCCGTAGGCCTTCGAAAGAAGTGAATAATTCCATCGCATGCATATGTTTTGTGCTCGCTGAAAATCCATAAAAACAAAGAACTTTTGGTGTTAGTATGCCAGGCCAAATTAGTACCTTTTCTCCGGCGGCGACTGCGACAGCAATATCGCGTCCCGGAGATTCCGCTAGTGTATCGCCGATAGCACTCCATTGTAGCGTCAAGGGGCGACCAATTTGACGAAGATTCATGAAGAATTGAATGAATAGGGATTAAAAAACGTAGTCTGGTGCCGGATAGCCACTTGATACTCATTTTGTGATCGTGAGGAAATCCATGGGGTGCTCCGATCTGATTGGCCAGTTGCCTCCCGAGCCGAGCCGAGCCGTAGGCGCTAAAACTTTAAATCAATATCAAATGAGTTTCTCCATGGGATATTATATAGCTAGTATCGATCGAGGCTACCGACGGCGACAGTGAGGTCCATAGGTGACGCACCATGGCTTCGGAAGATGCTTGGGTATCTTTCAACAAGGGGAGCCTGCTTGGTGGGCCTGACATGAGGTTATTATTGAGCAACATGGGCCTGAGGAATCGATTTTGCGAATGTGAAAAAT